TTTCTTCCCCAGCCAAGGAATGGGTGTGGAGCATGTCTCAGTTTAGTGGGTTTTTCCTCCTCTATTTCTGCCATTGAGATATATGTAAAAGACACTCTCTGAGTTAATGAATTGAAAGCCGTCCTCAAGATTCAAGATCTGTTTCAAAAAGATTATTTTGCCCACCTATAACAAAGAAGAAAATTTAGAAATGCTCAATTCACATGATCTGGAACTTCACAAAAGGGCAAACTTGAATAGTAGAGTGGTAAAGGATGCGTAAAACTCAGAGGTTACCTAAAATGCAAAATCAAATGCTGTCCTGCAGCATCATTTTACATGGTCTAGCCACGCCCAGGACTGGCTGAAGACAGGAAAGCAGGAAGATGCTCACTTGGTGTTAGAGGAAGTCACTGCCACCGTGAAATGGACAGCACCTGCACTGTTAGGTGTACACCCTAAAATGCTTCCACACGTGCAGAGGAAACACAGAAGAATCTCCACGGTAGTTTTCGTGAAGAGTAAGAAAAAAGCTGGAAATAACTTAAATGAATGGGTAAATAATACTAAACACTCACAATGGAATGGATGAACAAAACTGAGTGACACAGGCACTGAGTCAAAATATAGCCACAGAGCAGCAAGCAAGATGCTAAGCAACAAGGAGCGCATGCGATTCCATTCTATGAAGTTTTGACTCTACAAAGTGAGGCCACTGGCACAATGAGAATAAAAATATGAAAACAGTCCTGAGGAAAACACACTGGTTTATGGCAGTGACTCCCTCTTCCTAGTAAGGGGAAAATAAGAGGGGCACAAAGATCCTCCTTCCATGATCTAGAGTAAATATGGCAGAACAGAATTATAGACTGAAGCCTCACAGGGTAAGTACGTTAGCAGTATACTTGAAACACATCACTAAAGACAGAGGTGCGGAGGTGGGAGGAAGGAAGAAGAAGAAGAAAAGGAAACTCATCTATTCAAAGAGGTAACGTATCTCCCAAGGGCACGAGACCAACCACTGGACCACCTGGGTGGGCGGCCAGCCTTGCCGATCCACAGGCCTGCGTGCACAGACTCATGGGTTCACTTTTGCCAAGAGCTACCCACTCTGGGAGGCTCTGACTCATATCTCCTTCCTTCCTTAAATGACCGACTTCCTTTGTTTGCACACACAGTGATGACCCCCATCTCCTCACATGCGATGACTGGGCATGTCTGATCTCTGCCTGAAATCTTCCTTTACTGTTTCAAAAACCCCTATGGACTCATTACATGTAATTGTAGCCAAATGTTTTCTTCTGAATTTGCCTCTGTTAATTTAAACATTTTTGGTATAACTTTCTTTAGGTCCTAAAAATAGAGCTGGTGTTGACTATCACAAACAAGGGCAAAATGGTTTTGTAAATGAAAGAGAGAAATTAGGATAAAGCAACAGCACAGATCACATTTCCTGGACCAAAACTTAAAATGCATCTGAAAGACTCTGCCCCTAGTGAGGGGGAAGAAAGCACTGAAAAACAATCTGAGCAACACTGTGCATTATTGTCATCAATACTCTACATTTTGTAATTGTTCTCAGTAAAAATAAAATGCAGACATTAACAATGTAACCATGGTAAGAAACCAAAATGAGGCCGGGCACCGGTGGCTCACGCCTGTCATCCCAGCTACTCAGGACGCTGAGATCTGAGGATCACGGTGCACAGCCAGCCAGGGCAGGAAAGTCCATGAGACTCTTATCTCCAATAAACCACCAGAAAACTGGAAGTGGTGCTGTGGCTCACGTGGTAGAGCACCAGCCTTGAGCTGAAGAGCTGAGGGACAGCACCCAGGCCCCGAGTTCAAGCCCCACAACTGAGAAAAAAAAAAAAAAAAAACTAGAATGAAGATAGGCACCAGTGGCTCATGCCTATAATCTGAGCATGATGGTTATGATGGTTCAAAGCCAGCACTGGGATATGTGTAAGACTAAAAAGCATATTGCTGAGAGTTGGGGCTAGTAGGGCTTTTGAAAATGCCTCCTTGCATCATGCATTGGTTCATCTGTGACTTTCTATAGATTTCTACTGGATGCCAGGCAGAAAACAGGATGGCACTGAGTATTACAAGGCCCAGCACTAGACCTCCAGCATGGGCAGTTAGTGTGTCTAGGAAGCAGCGCCACCCGTAAGTCAGACTAAAAACAGCCACTAGAATTCCAAGACCAATTTGATTCAGATAAATAAAAGTTCTTCAGTGTTTGCTATAGTTAAGGAAATGGACTTCTAGGAAAAAGACATTCACTGAGATAAGGGGGAAAATCATATCTATTTACTTTTACTTACAAGAAGCCAGGGGGATCCCAAAACCAACCCCCAAACCATTATATAGCTAGAGAAATTCATATTATGTTTAGGTATTTAACCTGAGAAAAATCCTTCTAAAACTAGGATCAACATTCTTCAATCATGTCTTGTCATGAAATGATCAGTACTTAGAAAGGTCACTGACTGCTCATGTCCAACATCGTAACAATTTGTCAATACTGCTTACATTTTATATGACTCTAATTGTAAAAAATTCACGAGAGACTCTTTCCTGCCATAAAAGCTGTTTAGCTAGGTTCCAGATACACTGATGACTACCATGTGTGTTAGGGGAGAGGGGAAGTGAGGTATCAAGGACACAGATTACCTACTGAAAGAGAAGGGAAGGGCTACCATTCCCACAGGCCGCACGGCGGACGCCACATGCAAAACCGCCTGTCCCTGTGACTGTGTGAGGCACGCATCTCTCTCCATCAGAGTGGCGATGGGTGGTTTCTCAGTGGCTCTGGGAGGCTCACAGTTCAAAGCCAGCCCACGCAGTAAGTCTACAAGCAGAGATTGAAGGTACCAGGATGGCTGGGGCAGAAAAGTCCACAAGACCCCTCCTCCTCAGAGGGAAGCTACATGTGGTGATAATAAGCCTAAAAAAGGCAAGCTGCAGTTTAGGCATGTTCGATCAAAAGAAGCAAAACCCTATCCTAAAAAACCAAGGCTGGAGCATGGCTGCAGTGGAAAAGCACCAGACTAGCAAGCCTGAGGACCTGAGTTCAAACCCAATGCCACTATACACACACATACACACACAGAGAGAGCCTGTGGATGTCGCTGAGCGGCAGAGAAGTCTCTACTTGTAGTAGGCCCTGGATCCAAGCAAATACACTGTAGAAAGGAAGAAAAGGAAAACCTTCCTCAATTATCACTTCAAGAACAATGGGAGAAAACATACGTCTGCTCGTGAAAGGACGTAAGACTTCGTGACGCAAGGAGAGGAGGAGAGGCAAATACTAAAGGACTACTGGAAGAAGCTGAGATTGGCCTTACAGAGGAACCCTGAATTCCAAAACATCACACCAGTTACCACACAAGAGTCTGTAAGGGAACAGACGGTCCATTTCTGTCTAACCCCTTCCAGAGTGTAATCAGTGCAAGTCTGAGTGTACAAGGAAAAGAGAGAAGGTTAGAGAGCTTCTGGGAGGCTGCAGCTGCATTTCAGATTAAAATCTTGCCTTCCCCAAATATGCAAGGGTATCTGACTACATCACTCTTTCCAGACATCAGGACTTTTTAGGACAGGCATATTCACCTGTAATGGATTATCTGCAGTGACTCAAAGCTGGCTTCAGCAGCAAGTTTGAAAACAGGAATGAAAGTAGGGAGTATCAGATCTTGTGATGGAAGAATGGATGTGAAAAAAATAGAGCAACTTTTATTAAGGCTTTATTACTTTAAAAGGGGACTGTTCGTTCTAGTGGCATGCTGATCAACTTCTAGTAATTTACTTACTTATCTAAGGGATAATGGCTATTTTTACTCATCTCCAGGAAGAGCCCAATGTCCAATGGTGGTTTTTAAATGGCTTCAAACATTGCTCATTGAAGCAAAATGTAGGATTTCTAAATATTTTATTTGAGTTCTTGTCACCTGTATGAAAGAAGCAACTTAGCCCCACCTTATCTGATGCCCGGAGAGTTTTAAAGCCATCACTGAGAGACAAGCAGGCAACTCAACTCATTTTGTCTGTCTTGTCCTTATAAATCAAGTAACAAAGGAGCCATTTCTTTGCCTCCAAATCAAGTAAGTGGCCAGAGTGCAGATGCACTCCGAGTTTTCCATACAGGTCAGTGGAGGAAGCGGTCCCCGATGGTGAGTAATGTTGTAATGGCATTCATATCTCTTGTCATTCTGAGTTCTATGGTTTTTCTCAGGGCACAAGCACAAAGTATCTAACCCATCCCTGGACTGTCACGGGATCTTAGCTAAAGCATTTCAAGGGTTTTGGCATATGGTAAGTGCTCTGCAGTATTAGCTATTATTATCAAAATAATGACTGCGCTTCAGAAAAAATAGCAAATATAAAAAGTATTAGCAACTAGAAAGAAAGCCACCATCTCACCTCATTCTTTTTACTTAGATTTTGTTTACATGTACAGACACATAGGTTTCTGAGCCTATGCTAAGTTTTATACAACTTTCAGGATGTTTTGTCAATTACAATCACTGTCTTAAAAAGAAAATTAAAAAGAAATAATAACCAAATATATCCATACATTGACTGTAATTTACTATAGGCCATACTAAACATACACTAAAAAATAAAAATAAAAATGAAAAACAACCTGAGTCAAGGGCAGGCAATGAAGGAAAAAATCCAGACAGCAGGGTTCAGAGAAACAATCCCCAAATAACAAATGTAAAATAACACAGGAAAACAGAGCTAAGGAGACTGCGACACATGGAGGTAACTACAATGCAGAATGAAAGCTGAGAGAGGGTCTCTGAGGCCTGTTTCTAACTAAGGGAAGCACTAGCATCTCTTTTTTTAAACACAATTTAGATCAATAGAAGGTATTTTGATTTTGAGGACCTCTGATGTATAAACTTGTATGAGAGACCTGTTCCCACCCACACACGTGTACAGGACACGCACACCCCCAATTCACCCCTGGCTCTCGGGCAACGAAATGAGAGGACTCTGCGCGGGTCTGGACAAACCTGCTGGAAAGGTCGAGTCTGGGCCTGCCTGAGAAGACGGTGCTGTTGCTGCTGCTGCAGAAGCTTCATCTGTATGAACTGCTGCTGGGAAGTGAGCCCGTGAAGGGTGAGGGGCTGCGTCACGGCGCCCGAGCGCCGCTGGAGCATGTAGGACAGTGCTTGCTTGGTGCTGGCTGGCACAACGGAGCCCGCGGGGTCCAACCTGGAGCCTCCTACAGCAGCACCAGAGTGGAGAGGTCTCTAAGTATGGTAAAGCAATCAGGCATCCTTATTTTACCAAAACACAGGCACTTTGCCTTCGCAGGAGGGAGTCTAATACTGTACACAATGCAACTTCACGAATGCCCTACTTCAGGTGAGAAAATGAAGAGCTGCCATCATCTGGCAGTTATATGAATTTCAAATCATCTAAGGCTATTGGGAATATATTACTGGCATAAAACACACTGCTTTTGTTGAGCACGGGTGGCTCACACCTGTCATCCTAGCTACTCAGGAAGCTGAGATCTGAGGATTGCGGTTCCCCAGCCCGGGCAAGGACAGTCCATGAGACTCTTATCTCCAATTAACCACCAGAAAACCGGATGCGGAGCTGTGGCTCAAGTGGTAGAGCGCTCACCTTGAGCAAAAGAGCTCAGGGACAGTGCCCAGGCCCAGAATTTAAACCCCGCAACTGACAAAAACCAAAACCAAAACCAAAAAAGCCCACATTGCTTTCATGGCATATTTTGACAGGAGTCCTGAGCCAGACATAGAAACTCTCGTGATTTTAAACAAATCTGAAGCACATGTTATTTAAGCTTCATTCCCAGGACATAATAAAATGTATCTCTTGCAGTAAAAAAGCATAAAAGTACTTTAACTTGAATTTCTTGGAAACTTCAAATATCACAAATCTAAAGAGAAAAGACTTTTTGAAAGCTGGAAATCAATTAAACAACAAACATTGATTATACTGTTATTTAAGAAAACAAAGGAAATCCTTAGCATCTCTGGATACAGATTTGATTAAGTGCCTTCATGGGTTAGAAAGTATTCTTTTTAGCGTAGCTGTGGCTCAAAGTGGTAAAGTGCTAGCCTTGAGCAAAAAAGCTCAGGGACAGAGCCCAGGCCCTGAGTTCAAGTTCCACAACTGAAAAAAAAAGTATTTTTTCATCAATTGCTGGCTTCACAGTATCTGCCAACTCTGATGTACAGAGAGGAACTCCCCATCAATACCTCACCCACACCTTACCCTTTCATAAAGAGCAGTTCATAGGACAGACAGCTGACCAAATGGCTACCCGACATTACTTCAGACTCAGCACCAGAGGCAGCCCAAGTTAGAGCCATCCACAGAGACCGTGTGGGAGGTGAGGCGGGATCCCAGAGAGGTGGGCGGCCCGGCCACACTATGCTCACACGGTCCATTCACAGAAAGAGAATAGGAATGTGATAGGTCAGTCAGTTTCTTGTATGGTTTGGGTTTTTTTAACTGTATTTTTTTGGTCTTTTCTTTTTTTTGTACTGGGGATCGAACCCAGGACGTTGCACTTGCTAGGCAAGCACTTTGTCACTGAGCCACATCCCAGCCCTCAGTTTCTTTTAATGTTCATAACTCTTCTACAGTCTTTACCTCTGAAGAAATATAAGGTTATGAAATCTTTCTATGCTGCCCAGGATGGCTTCAAACTCCTAGGCTCAGCCTCCAGAGTATCAAAAGACTACAAAAGTGCCCTACTGCACCTGGCTGAATCTTATTCAGAAGGAAAGATACTTTGAGTGAAGGGAATTGCTGAAATGTCAGCTGAGCTCTCAAGGTCTTAAGTTTTGTAACGTTCTCAGGGTAAAAGCAAAGAGAACCTCATCTAAGAGTGACCTAACTGCGTTTTTGTTACATACCTGGAGTAAGAGACTGGTTCTGAAGGAAGAAGGCAGGCTGCGGGGGCTGGCCCACGAGGTTGTAACCCCACACGGTGGACGGTGCGTGGTGCATCACTTGGGAGGAAATGGGTGAGTAATTAGGAGGTACTCGGTATATGTTGCTCTGTGGATACTCCTTCAACATAAAGATTAAAAAGAAAGTTTGAATCGACATATCCCACGCTAATGAATTATTTGAGATACTTCCTATGTCTGTGTAAAGGGGAAGGGGGAAGTGAACACAGGAGTCAGACCTTTTCCTTTACTTGAGTGCAGCTTGGTAGCAGGACATCTGCCTCTCATGCACAAGCCTCACAGTAAAAACCAAATCAAACCAAACCAAAAAGAAACCACTTATCTTTTTTCTTTTTTTGGTCCGGTCATGGGTCTTGAACTCTGGGCCTGGACACTGTCCCTCAGCTCTTCAGCTCAAGGCTAGCACTCTACCACTTGAGCCCAGCACCACTTCCGGCTTTTTTTTTTTTTTTTGCTTATGTGGTGCTAAGGAATTGAACCCAGGGCCTCAGGTATGCAAGGCAAACGCTCTACCACTGAGCCATCTTCCTAGCCCCCGAAACCACTTATCTTGCAGTGGCCAGAGAAGAAAAATATCTTCTGTCAGTTCTTTAAAAAATTAGAAATGCACTCAGAATGCCAATACTGAGCAAGATTAACTACAAGCACCTTCCTTGATAAGGCTCTTGATAATCATCTCAGAAGGCCATCCCCAGGGTCTTGGGCCTCGAGGACATTTGTATCAGAAAGGCCCACAATGATTCGGGACTGCTTTCTGCCTAGAAAGCATCTTACTGGAGTCTTTCTACTGCCCTTCCACACAGGTGGGCGCCCCGGTCCCGTGCTGCGGCTTCCTGAGGATCGGAAGCACGTCTGTCATGGTTCCATACGGCACAGGACAGAAGCATGTTCCCTGCCATTTTACACAAGCGTATATGCCACTGAGAGAAGGTGTAGAAAATAAGCTGAATTTGGAGCTTCTGGTGTCTGAGATGAACAGAAGCCAATTCACATGGGCTTCCGTGAGGTTAGAGCTGCTGGTATCTGAAAAGAACAGAACCTGTTTGCACGGGCTGGCAGATTAGTACCCCAGATCAGCAGGAGGCTCAGTTGGGACCACATTGAACAAGCTTTTGAGGTGGAGGAACTTGAGCAGAAGAGTAACCAAGAGGCACTGACACATGAGCATAGGCTATCGGGGAGGAACAGAGAGGTCTTGGTTTTGACACAGGTGAGTTACCCTCAGATGTCTGAACACAAGTCCTTCTTATGCTGTGCAGTAAAAATTCCCCTGGATTTTGTAGAAGGTTACTTCAAATGCTCAAGTATTTATCAGTAGAAAGAAATCCTAAGTACCACATCTTATGTTCCAAAAATCATTTATAAATTGTAATTCAATACATTTCTCAGGGTGTGGAGAAATCCCGGCAGTTTGACTTGAGGCCTCGCGCTGCTAGGCAGGTGAACAGCAACTCAAGCCCCACCACACTCGCTTCAGTTTATTTATGCCCAGGATTGGCATCTGACTATGATCTTCCTACCTCTGCCTCCCAAGTAGCCAGGACTACCGGTATGTACCACCACATCTAGCCCGGTTTCTGATATTTGAAAGAAAACGTCATCATTGGTAAGGAATATGAGGTAGAAAGCAAGAAAGACAGCATTTACAATTAGGTCTACTTATCTCTCATAAAATCTGATATGGAAAAGAAGCAGAAGTGCAAGAGAGCAAGATAATAGGAAAATAAGGAATCTCTAGATCACCATATTGGGCATCATATGTAAATTAACACAGGGAAAAAGAAAAGTTTTGTTTTTTTTTTTTTTGGTCTGGTCGTGGGGCCTGAACTCTGGGCCTGGGCGCTGCCCCTCAGCTCTTCAGCTCAAGGCTAGCGCTCTACCACTTGAGCCACAGCGCCACTTCCGGCTTTTTTTTTTCATTTTGCTTATGTGGTGCTGAGGAATCGAACCCAGGGCCTCAGGCATGCAAGGCAAGCACTCTACCACTGAGCCACCTTCCCAGCCCAACTTTTTTTTGTTTTTGTTTTTTGCTTTTTTCTTTTTGCTTATGTGGTGCTGAGGAATGGAACCCAGGACCTCATGCATGCAAGGCAAGTGCTCTACCACTGAGCCACCTTCCCAGCCCCAAAAGAAAAGTTTTGTTATGTTAATGTATTGCAAATTTTGTCAACTACCCAAAATTACAGGATTTGATATTTCAAAAAATTAAGGTTTCAATCTGGGAAATGATGAGGCACTGAGATTTAACCCAGAATTATCTACGAGAAGCAGCTCTTGGTGTATTTGTGAAAGTTTTAACATGGAATTATTTCAGTGAAATGGAGTTTAGATAAGGATATGGCAGTTAATGGCTCTGAGAAGCAGTTCAAGTGGAGGGGGAACCCAACTCAGTCCACCTGTTATGTTGTGCCATCCAGTTAAACGTCACAGAAACGAGTAAGAGCTGTCTCAGAGCGGATGGACGTGGGGACACAGGCCCAGTAGTGAGTCTCACCCTCGCTGCTAAGGAGTGTACGGACTTCCAGGGACGTGGGGACATACAGGCCCAGTAGTGAGTCTCACCCTCGCTGATAAGGAGCGTATGGACTTCCAGGGACGTGGGGACATACAGGCCCAGTAGTGAGTCTCACCCTCGCTGCTAAGTAGCGTACGGACTTCCAGGGACGTGGGGACACAGGACCAGTAGCGAGTCTCACCCTCGCTGCTAAGTAGCGTACGGACTTCCAGGGACGTGGGGACACAGGACCAGTAGCGAGTCTCACCCTCGCTGCTAAGGAGTGTACGGACTTCCGGGACATGGGGACACAGGCCCAGTAGTGAGTCTCACCCTCGCTGCTAAGGAGTGTACGGACTTCCAGGGACGTGGGGACACAGGCCCAGTAGTGGGTCTCACCCTCGCTGCTAAGGAGTGTACGGACTTCCAGGGACGTGGGGACACAGGCCCAGTAGTGGGTCTCACCCTCGCTGCTAAGGAGTGTACGGACTTCCAGGGACGTGGGGACACAGGCCCAGTAGTGAGTCTCACCCTCGCTGATAAGGAGCGTATGGACTTCCAGGGACGTGGGGACATACAGGCCCAGTAGTGAGTCTCACCCTCGCTGCTAAGTAGCGTACGGACTTCCAGGGACGTGGGGACACAGGACCAGTAGCGAGTCTCACCCTCGCTGCTAAGTAGCGTACGGACTTCCAGGGACGTGGGGACACAGGACCAGTAGCGAGTCTCACCCTCGCTGCTAAGGAGTGTACGGACTTCCGGGACATGGGGACACAGGCCCAGTAGTGAGTCTCACCCTCGCTGCTAAGGAGTGTACGGACTTCCAGGGACGTGGGGACACAGGCCCAGTAGTGGGTCTCACCCTCGCTGCTAAGGAGTGTACGGACTTCCAGGGACGTGGGGACACAGGCCCAGTAGTGGGTCTCACCCTCGCTGCTAAGGAGTGTACGGACTTCCAGGGACGTGGGGACACAGGCCCAGTAGTGAGTCTCACCCTCGCTGCTAAGGAGTGTACGGACTTCCAGGGACGTGGGGACACAGGCCCAGTAGTGGGTCTCACCCTCGCTGCTAAGGAGTGTACGGACTTCCAGGGACGTGGGGACACAGGCCCAGTAGTGAGTCTCACCCTCGCTGCTAAGGAGTGTACGGACTTCCAGGGACATGAGGACACAGGCCCCCCTTGCTCCTAACGCGCCACGCTCTCCTGGCTTCCTACTCACATCCACGCGCGAGCCGCACTTGGTCTTGCGCTTCCTGCCCTTTGTCTTCTTCTCTTCATCGGCTGGGTTTTTCCCGGGATCTGACAGCTCAGCTGATTTCCTTTCTGGTTCCTGAGAAACGGGAGATGTGGGCTCTTCCTCTTCCTCCTCGGGAGGCAGGGGCAGCGGCTCCAGGTAGTAGCTCCGGGGCTTGGGCGTGGGGTGTGTGTGGTACAGAAGGAGGTGGTGCTGCTCCTCGTATCTGATTACTCTTCGATCCACACGGACAGTCCCAAACCAGGCCCAGGAGAGAGGAGCTGGGTTCTTCTGGCCCTCAAACAAGTCCCATGGGGACACCTTCTGCTTGGTAGATACCTGGAGCCCCTGGGGTAGGATGGTGCGTGGTGAGAATGTGTTCAGATCTTGCCCTGAATCACAGGCAGCCTGCTTAATACCTAGCACTCAGCACACCAGACTGCAGAGCTAGGTCACTCACAAAAAGGCAGTGCCTACAATTCAGACCTTTATGTTCAGTTCTATAGTTCTTCGCTTGATGCTACACATAAGCAACACAAGTAGTATATGTTGCTTAAAATCCATTTTTCATTTATCTTTTCAAAGAATAATCTTTTTAAATAAAGAATACTGAAAAGCTAGTCTTACTAATACAAATTATAATCAGTAATCTATTTTTTATGTTTGAGACAATATAAAACTTAAGAGCCAAAACACACTTGGTCCCTAAGTGGTTTCCTATTAACTTCAATCCAAACCTGCATGGACTTGATTCAACATGGAGACCTTTCACATACTTCACGAGCCAGATTATCATCATCATCATCATCATCTATTTTTAAATTTGGTGCCAGTGCTAGGGCCTGAGCTCAGGGCCTGGGTGCTGTCCCCCTGAGCTAGTGTTCTACCACTTGAGCCATGGCTCCACTTGCAGATCTTCTGGTATCTTACGGGTGATAACAGACTCATGGAGTTTTCTCCCCTGGCTTGGCTGGTTTGAACTATGATCTTCAGACTTCAGCTTCCTGCGTAGCTAGGATTACAGTGAACATCCTGTGACCGGCCATAAGCCAGATTCTGAACAAAGCAACAGGATGACAGAATTACATTACAGAAGCAATTATAGAAGTCTTTCCAGTCCAGCTTGTCTCTACTAACTCCAGAAAAACACAATTCTGCTTCTGAGTTATGTTAAATAAGAAATTCAACATTATTTGTTAGTGTCTCTTAGAACATTTCCTAGTGTACCAAGTTAAATATATTTCTCCTCAAAAACAAGCATTCATTCAGTCTATAAGATGAGAACCCTCCTTGTTCTTATCTACACGTAATCTGCCACTGATGACTTCTTCCAACACCAAGGTTCAATTAATTTCCCTTAATATGTGTCTTGAGACGAAATCATTTTCTAGGTATAAAGACCACATTACCACCAAATGGATTCTACAAGTCCCACTGCTGGAGAACTGAAACACAACTTGACCTGATCCTAGCTTTTTCCTTTGTAGAACTACACTGGAACTGGGTACACGGGCTTCTCTGATTGATGGCAGCATTAAGTCACACTCTCCTACATTTCCTAGTGTCCCCAGTGCTCTCTACCGTGACATACAAATCTTATTGTACTGTGGTTCCCTGCTTCCTCTAGAAAGCAGGGTGTTGGGAGCTCCGCTTTTATTTCTGAGATTGCATCATGTCTGACTGCCTAATGTCCACTGAAAGATCATCTGACTATTTTTGTTCTCTTGTAGAGAACTTTCTTCAAAACAATGTCCTGAACTACTAAAGAAGATCCTCTCTCAAAATGCAAAAACACGTAAGTATTAAGTAATTTTTACTTGAAACGGCTTATTAGCACAAGACACTATTTATCAATAAAATCTTTCTTGCATAAAGATACAGTACTTCCAATTATGAAATAAAATCAGAACTGGTCTTTGCTTTCATTTTCTTAAACTTTAGTTTCTCCTTGGTGGATTTCAGAAATCTATTATATTTAGGTAAAGATTTTAAATGAGTATCTTACAAAATATGATGTTTACTATAGTGCATAACAAAAATATCCCCTAAATTTTTTAAGAAACTATAATGTTGAGATGTTTTATGTACTTTCTAGGAAGATTAAAAAATTACTTCATTTCTGTAAATAAGATGTATTTATTTATGAGACAAACATTTACACTTGCCTGTTTTTTATCGATAGAGTCAAATCCAGCAATTTTGTTTCCTTTTGTGTCTATCAAAGAACCCATAGGCTCACAAGTGATGACATCACATGTCTGTTTTGGCAAAGGTAGCAACTGTTGAACTTTATCAATGCTTTCCGACCGCTTGTCTCCAAGCTCTTTCTATAAAAACAGAGAAAGAAAAGAGGAGAAGGAGAGGAGAAGGAGAGGGAGGGAAGTGGGGAGGAAGGAGAAAGGGAAAGGGAGGGAGAAATAAAATGGCAACTCATATAAATTACAGTGAAGGCAAAAGTTAACAGGAAGGAAGTTCCTTCATAAACAGTTCCTTCTTCACAGCTAGCATGTTCTTTAACCCTGAAATATGCCATGGAACAGTTCCAAATCAGTACCATGTTTCATTTCTTCTATTCAAGTAGAAAACAGAAGACGGACAAAGGCAGTCTTGTTGCACAACATCACAGAGCTGAAATGACAAACATTTGGGCGCCGAAGGCAGGAGCTGCAGCAGAGAACACACTCTCGCACCCAGGGGCGGACCACAAGGTAACCATCCGTTATTTTACTGACAAAGTCGTCAGATACGCTTCTTTCCTTCCTTGTACTGTGTGTTTATAGTTTATTTCAAAGAGAGTTAGTCAAATAAATCAGATGTTCAAATATTAATCGATGCTGATTGTTTAACTACATGAGCAAGTCCAAGCATGGATTCATCCTAAATCTTATTTTGGCATTTTGGTTAAGTTTTGATAATGAATTATTTCTAAAATAACTTAAAAATTAGACATGCTCTGCGAATGAAGAATCTATAGATTCTCGTGACATGCTTGTAACTTTGGGGCCTGGCAAGTGGGGCCTGGCAATAATTAGCAATCACATCACTTTACGTCGAATGTGTAAGCATTTAAATTACTGAGTAATAATTTACAGAAAATGCATTCATTAGACAAGAAACCCACAATCACCTTGAATGTATACCACAAGCTGGTCACAACTTACTTTCAGTTTCTTCACCAGGTTCATGTATGCTCGTTTATTCTCTTCAGACCCCCCTGGGGATGCGTTTGATAGATCAGAGGCTAAGGTCCCATTGATTAGGACACCCAGCATGTCAAGAACTGTGGTGAATAACTCACTAAGAGGCAAAACAAAACAACAGTTTTAGTCCTAAAAGGAACGAAGCTACGCTTAACTGCTATGGAAGGCACACTAGAGTGTGGCGGCATCTGTCCTCAGGACATCAGCGCCAGAGTGTGGGGTGAGCACATACTTGTTAGTGTGCATGTCAACGGCTCCCGAGGTGATTATCTGCAGAAACAGGAGGGCCCAGTCCGTGGTCCACTGAGCACTCCTCTGCACGGTGTCGAACATGCCTCCCACCTAGCACACAAACACAGCCCAGAGTCTGGATTCAGAAAAAGAGAGAACGCCACACCCACCACATCCCACCCACCACACCCACCAGGCCACGCCCACCACACCCACCAGGCCACGCCCACCACACCCACCACATCACACCTACCACACCCACCAGGCCACTCCCACTACACCCACCAGGTCACGCCCACCACACCCACCAGGTCACGCCCACTACACCACCACATCACACCCACTACACCACATCACACCCACTACACCACCACACCACACCCACTACACCACATCACACCCACTACACCACCACACCACACCCACTACACCACATCACACCCACTACACCACATCACACCCACTACACCACGTCACACCGACTACACCACGTCACACCCACTACACCACCACACCACACCCACTACACCACATCACACCCACTACACCACATCACATCACATCCACTACACCACATCACACCCACTACACCACATCACACCCACTACACCACCACACCACACCCACTACACCACATCACACCCACTACACCACATCACATCACACCCACTACACCACCACATCACACCCACTACACCACCACATCACACCCACTACACCATGTCACACCCACTACACCACATCACACCCACTACACCACATCACACCCACTACACCACATCACACCCACTACACCACCACACCACACCCACTACACCACATCACACCCACTACACCACATCACACCCACTACACCACATCACACCCACTACACCACATCACACCCACTACACCACCACACCACACCCACTACACCACCACATCACATCACACCCACTACACCACATCACACCACACCCACTACACCACACCACACCCACTACACCACATTACACCACACCCACTACACCACACCACACCCACTACACCACCACACCCACTACACCACCACATCACACCCACTACACCACATCACACCCACTATACCACATCACACCCACTACACCACATCACACCACACCCACTACACCACCACACCACACCCACTACACCACATCACACCCACTACACCACATCACATCACACCCACTACACCACATCACACCCACTACACCACATCACACCCACTACACCACGTCACACCCACTACACCACGTCACACCCACTACACCACATCACACCCACTACACCACATCACACCCACTATACCACATCACACCCACTACACCACATCACACCCACTACACCACCACACCCACTACACCACCATACCCACTACACCACATCACACCCACTACACCACATCACACCCACTACACCACATCACACCACACCCACTACACCACATCACACCCACTACACCACATCACACCCACTACACCACATCACACCCACTACACCACATCACACCCACTACACCACCACACCACACCCACTACACCACATCACACCCACTACACCACCACACCCACTATACCACATCACACTCACTACACCACATCACACCCACTACACCACGTCACACCCACTACACCACATCACACCCACTACACCACCACACCCACTACACCACATCACACCCACTACACCACATCACACCACACCCACTACACCACACCACACCCACTACACCACCACACCCACTACACCACATCACACTCACTACACCACATCACACCACACCCACTACACCACACCACACCCACTACACCACCACACCCACTACACCACATCACACTCACTACACCACATCACATCACACCCACTACACCACATCACACCCACTACACCACCACACCCACTATACCACATCACACCCACTACACCACATCACACCCACTACACCACATCACACCCACTACACCACGTCACACCGACTACACCACGTCACACCCACTATACCACATCACACCCACTATACCACATCACACTCACTACACCACATCACACCCACTATACCACATCACACTCACTACACCACATCACACCCACTACACCACCACACCCACTACACCACATCACACCCACTACACCACATCACACCCACTACACCACCACACCCACTACACCACCACACCCACTACACCACATCATACCCACTACACCACATCACACCCACTACACCACGTCACACCCACTACACCACATCACACCCACTACACCACATCACACCCACTACACCACATCACACCCACTACACCACCACATCACACCCACTACACCACATCACACCCACTACACCACATCACACTCACTACACCACCACATCACACCCACTACACCACATCACACCACACCCACTACACCACCACATCACACCCACTACACCACATCACACTCACTACACCACACCACACCCACTACACCACATCACACCACACCCACTACACCACATCACACCCACTACACCACATCACACCCACTATACCACATCACACCCAATACACCACGTCACACCGACTACACCACATCACACCCACTACACCACCACATCACACCCACTACACCACATCACACCCACTACACCACATCACACCCACTACACCACATCACACCCACTACACCACACCACACCCACTATACCACATCACACCCACTACACCACATCACACCCACTATACCACATCACACCCACTACACCACGTCACACCCACTACACCACATCACACCCACTACACCACATCACACCCACTACACCACATCACACCCACTACACCACATCACACCCACTACACCACATCACACCCACTACACCACCACACCACACCCACTACACCACATCACACGCACTACACCACATCACACCCACTACACCACCACACCACACCCACTACACCACATCACACCACACCCACTACACCACATCACACCCACTACACCACATCACACCACACCCACTACACCACATCACACCACACCCACTACACCACCACACCCACTACACCACATCACACCCACTACACCACATCACACCCACTACACCACATCACACCCACTACACCACATCACACCCACTACACCACCACACCACACCCACTACACCACATCACACGCACTACACCACATCACACCCACTACACCACCACACCACACCCACTACACCACATCACACCACACCCACTACACCACATCACACCCACTACACCACATCACACCCACTACACCACACCACACCCACTATACCACATCACACCCACTACACCACATCACACCCACTATACCACATCACACCCACTACACCACGTCACACCCACTACACCACATCACACCCACTACACCACATCACACCCACTACACCACATCACACCCACTACACCACATCACACCACACCCACTACACCACATCACACCCACTACACCACATCACACCCACTACACCACATCACACGCACTACACCACATCACACCCACTACACCACCACACCACACCCACTACACCACATCACACCACACCCACTACACCACCACACCCACTACACCACATCACACCCACTACACCACATCACACCCACTACACCACATCACACCACACCCACTACACCACATCACACCCACTACACCACATCACACCCACTACACCACCACACCACACCCACTACACCACGTCACACGCACTACACCACATCACACCCACTACACCACCACACCACACCCACTACACCACATCACACCACACCCACTACACCACCACATCACACCCACTACACCACATCACATCACACCCACTACACCACATCACACCCACTACACCACGTCACACCGACTACACCACGTCACACCCACTACACCACATCACACCCACTACACCACCACACCCACTACACCACCACATCACACCCACTACACCACATCACACCCACTACACCACATCACACTCACTACACCACATCACATCACACCCACTACACCACATCACACCCACTACACCACGTCACACCCACTACACCACATCACACCCACTACATCACCACACCCACTACACCACATCACACCCACTACACCACCACACCCACTACACCACCACATCACACCCACTACACCACATCACACTCACTACACCACATCACATCACACCCACTACACCACATCACACTCACTACACCACATCACATCACACCCACTACACCACATCACACCCACTACACCATCACACCCACTACACCACATCACACCCACTACACCACATCACACCCACTACACCACCACATCACACCCACTACACCACATCACACCCACTACACCACATCACACCCACTACACCACACCACACCCACTACACCACATCACACCCACTACACCACATCACACCCACTACACCACATCACACCCACTACACCACGTCACACCCACTACACCACATCACACCACACCCACTACACCACATCACACCCACTACACCACATCACACCCACTACACCACCACATCACACCCACTACACCACATCACACCCACTACACCACGTCACACCCACTACACCACATCACACCCACTACACCACATCACACCACACCCACTACACCACATCACACCCACTACACCACGTCACACCCACTACACCACATCACACCCACTACACCACCACACCACACCCACTACACCACATCACACCCACTACACCACATCACACTCACTACACCACCACACCCACTACACCACATCACACCCACTACACCATCACACCCACTACACCACCACATCACACCTACACCACATCACACCCACTACACCACATCATACCCACTACACCACATCACACCCACTACACCACATCACACCCACTACACCACACCACACCCACTACACCACATCACACCCACTACACCACATCACACCCACTACACCACCACACCCACTACACCACCACACCCACTACACCACATCACACCCACTACACCACATCACACCCACTACACCACATCACACCACACCCACTACACCTCCACATCACACCTACTATACCACCACATTACACCCACTACCCCAGTCACACCCACAAATTGTCATTAGTTGAAAAAAGAAAGGTTTCTATACTCTGCTTATTATGAATTACTCTTGTTTTCCTCACTTAGCTATGAGTTTATCACTATTTTGTGTTACTTCAGCATTTGTTTGGTCAAAAACTGAATGAAGATCAATGAGCGTGGACACTCATAATATTAGATTTCTTTCCTTTGTCTTTCATGATGTTCAGTTTATAATGTAATTGCAATTACATTAAATCTGATCACTGTCCAAACTATGTGATCCAACTACCTGCAGCTGACATGTTTAATCTAAGCGTGTGGTGATAACACCTTTGAAAACACCTGCTAACCCAGAAGCAGTGCTTCTGAACTCAGTGGAGCTTTTCCCCTCAGGCTGCCAGCTCCTAGGTGTGGGGCTTAGGCTAAAAGTTAAGTCAAGACACCAGGCAAGGTGCCACTGACGGTGCTGTTGGGGTTAGCTCAGTAGGAAAGGACAAGTCCAAGGAATGTACCATGTTTGAGAAATGAATGATTCCCATCAAACAGCCTTGTGAAATTGGTATTTGTGATCAATGTGATAGAAAGTCATAATTCTGAGTTGAAGGATTTTATGGCTTTTAAATTCATCTGGTGAAAACTAACATATCCTGAAGTAGCAGTTTTTCTAGAACACCTCTAAGCACAAACTAAGAGAAAGAGACCTTTGTTAAAGAAAACAAATAATGCTTCAAACTTTGACTACTGTCTAGAACTTGACCCAGACAGGAAGGAAGGTGGCAGGGAGTGCAGAGATTTGAAGGAAAGGGGAAGCAGTTGCTGAGGCCTGCTGTCCACGCTGCCCGCAGCCCCGCTGGACCTGGAGCGCCTTCCACACAGAAAGGGGCCATTACAGGAAGCACAGGAAGCACCCTACCAGATTTAAGCGGAGCTGCAAGGCCTCGTGCACCGCCTGCCGTGCCTTTATGTCAGCCTGGTCGCGCTCTTCCCTCCAGTTACTTAAGATCTGAAAGCAGAAAAGAGAAAAAGAAAGGGAGAGACCAAACCCTTTCTCTCTGAAAACTGCTCTGATTTCCTCACAAAAAGGTCAGCGGAACTTGCTCCTGACAGCCCCAAACAATGTTTTAGCTTTCACAAATTAACAAAGAAAGCTTAATAAAATTCTAGTTTTCCTCCTTTTTCACAAGCAGAGAATCTGTTGATACAGACAGTATCATTAAGCCTGGGGAAATGCCTTAGAAGGCCATTAAACATTAACAAAAAAAGTTAACCACACTATTTAAAAACTGGGGACATAGAATGAAAATTTCGCATTGGTCCCAGGCTATATTTCCAGGGACCTGCTATGAGTGAACACACTGCAGAGGGGACACAGCGCAGGGCGAGGGGCAGAGTGACAGTGAACATGGACTTACACCTACACAGTGACCCAAACGGACTGGGAAACAAAATGCAGGCTAGGCTGGCATCTGACACGAGCCTCTTCCAGCCAACAGCTGGGCTCCATGGATGCAGCTTCCACCCATGTGACGGCGTAGCTGGTGCCGTGGTGGAGAGCAGTCAACGCCATTAGTCCAAACAACTAGTACAGATTTATTAGTCCACATTTCAAAGTTTTTATTGCTTCCTGGGATTTCAATCAGGCCCTCAACACTAGCTAAGCAGGAGCTCTACCACGGAGCCATACTTTACCCACTTTTCCCACTGGTTATTTGGCCAGAGTGCATATCTGAACCTTCATCTTATTTTATACTTCCCGGTAGCTGGAATGACAGGTGTATGACCCCCTCCATCCCCCACCATCCCGACTGGGTTCTTCTATTGAGACGGAGTCTGGCAGACTTATCTGCTCAGTTGGTCGGGAACCATCAGCCAGAGTGGCAGGTGTCTGCACTGCACTCAGCTGCTGGCTGTTCTAGAAGTGCCTTCTGTGAATGCCCAGGCTTGCCGTGAACCGTGATCCTCTATCTCAACCATTCAAGTAGCTAAGACTGCAGCTGTGGACCACCAGAACTCGACCCAGACCTTGTGAATTTCATTTTGATGTAAATATAAGGAGCTTAGATACTGGAGGTGTAGGTGATTCGTATTTCAGAAGTAGAACTATATTTCACATGAGTAGCTATGTGGAGAAAAGATCTCCTAGATCCAGCAGTGAGAGATGGCAAAGAGAACGGAGCAGGATTCAGTATCCTTGTTCTCGTCCATCCACTGCCACACAGGAGAGGACCTGGTACCATAAACACAGTGCCATGAGGCGGGGCTCACTGCCCAGCCAACCTGGTACCATACAACACAGTGCCACGAGGCGGGGCTCACTGCCCAGCCAACCTGGCCACTGCTCTTGATTGACACTCAAAACTTTCTGAGTCATTTAGTTTCTAGGCAGTACATAAACAGTGTCCCAAACAGATATCCAAAGAGCCATGGTGGCTAAAAAAGCCATATCCAAACTCGAGGAATACATTAAAATGCCTCCTGGTGCAGCCAGCGAGCTGGCATCAGACCCGCGGCAGACCCATACAAATACATTCCTGAACCCTCCCGGCTCAGGCCAGGCCAGGCTGCTGGGGTGCAGGGTCACAGAGGTCACATCCCTGCTCCGCCCAGGCAGACTGTCTTCTCCAGAGGGCACAGCACACGGCCTGCCCCAAAGTTCTCGACACTACGCACATCTCAATGGGCATGTCTATCTACCTTGTCACGTGGGTCACTGATGCTGTAACACTGTGAACCTGTGAGTGGTACTTGTGGCGGGCGTTCTGAGGAACACCAGGTGGGAGAAGAGGGCGTGGATTACAGTGCCCAGCATCCACTGAAACCATGGTGCATCCTTATTCGTTAAAGCACAGCACATCGTCAGGGAGACGCTGGCTGCACCCTACATGGTGCATCCTTATTGGTTTCACAAGCACATCGTCAGGGAGACGCTGGCTGCACCCTACATGGTGCATCCTTATCTGTTAAAGCACAAGCACATCGTCAGGGAGATGCTGGCTGCACCCTACATGGTGCATCCTTATCCGTTAAAGCACAGCACATCGTCAGGGAGACGCTGGCTGCACCTTACATGGTGCATCCTTATTCGTTAAAGCACAGCACATCGTCCAGGAGACGCTGGCTGCACCCTACATGGTGCATCCTTATTGGTTTCACAAGCACATCGTCAGGGAGACGCTGGCTGCACCCTACATGGTGCAACCTTATTGGTTTCACAAGCACATCATCAGGGAGACACTGGCTGCACCCTACATGGTGCATCCTTATTCGTTAAAGCACCAGCACATCGTCAGGGAGACACTGGCTGCACCCTACATGGTGCATCCTTATCCGTTAAAGCACCAGCACATCGTCAGGGAGACACTGGCTGCACCCTACATGGTGCATCCTTATTGGTTTCACAAGCACATCGTCAGGGAGACGCTGGCTGCACCTTACATGGTACATCCTTATTGGTTTCACAAGCACATCATCAGGGAGATGCTGGCTGCACCCTACATGGTGCATCCTTATTCGTTAAAGCACCAGCACATCGTCAGGGAGACGCTGGCCGCACCCTACATGGTACATCCTTATTGGTTTCACAAGCACATCATCAGGGAGATGCTGGCTGCACCCTACATGGTGCATCCTTATTCGTTAAAGCACCAGCACATCGTCAGGGAGACGCTGGCTGCACCCTACATGGTGCATCCTTATCCGTTAAAGCACAAGCACATCGTCAGGGAGACGCTGGCTGCACCCTACATGGTGCATCCTTATTCGTTAAAGCACAGCACATCGTCAAGGAGACACTGGCTGCACCCTACATGGTGCATCCTTATTGGTTTCACAAGCACATCGTCAGGGAGATGCTGGCTGCACCCTACATGGTGCATCCTTATTGGTTTCACAAGCACATCGTCAGGGAGATGCTGGCTGCACCCTACATGGTGCATCCTTATTCGTTAAAGCACCAGCACATCGTCAGGGAGACGCTGGCCGCACCCTACATGGTGCATCCTTATTGGTTTCACAAGCACATCGTCAGGGAGACGCTGGCTGCACCCTACATGGTGCATCCTTATCCGTTAAAGCACCAGCACATCGTCAGGGAGACGCTGGCCGCACCTCACCTGGTTCACTTGATTCTGCAGCGATGTCAGGAGGCCTTCCCGTTGCTCGTCCTGCCCCTTGAGGCAGGTGAGGACCAGGGAGAGGAATGGCTGCTGGCTCAGAAGAGACATGCTGCAAGGGAAGCGACCACGGCAGATCAGTCAGAAAGAGCTAGCCGTCACTCACGTCTTCATTTACTCATATTTATTTCACTATTAAATGAAGGAAAGGGCAGAAAATAGTGACAAGCAAGCAAGCACAGATTAAAACCCAGGCGAGGCTTCTAAATATCTAGATGCGCTCTACTGCCCTGGAAGGCACCGGCAGCCCTGTCGGTGCATGCCGCACGGCAGCGGGCCCCACGAGGGGGAGAGCACCGCACTTGCAGCGTTTTAAATTTTTCATAAGAAAACAGATTAGCTTATATATGGAATAAAGTGAAAATTAAGAAAAGTTTCACTTAAACTTTGATTTTAAAATTCAGAAAACATGCCTCTTAACAGTGTTGATTCTTTGGGGGCTGGCTTTCCTTTTTAGCATACTTTCTTTGTCTTTTTTGCAAGTTATGGGGCTTAAACTCAGGGCCTGGGCACTGTCCCTGAGCTTTTTCTGCTCAAGGTGAGCACTGTATCACTTGAGCCACAGCACCACTTCCAGCCTTTTTGTAGAAGTTTATTGGAGATGAGCATCTCCAGACTTTTCTGCTCAGGCTGGCTTCAAACTGCAGTCCTCAGATCTTAGCCTCCTGAGTAGTTAGGATTACTGGTGTGAGCCCCTAGCACCTGGCTTCAACACATTTCTTAAGACCAAACAGGACTAGCCACAAGGTTGGAGGACCCTAAGAGTGGGATTCCTGCTAGAAGCCGCTAGGGTCCAGGCTCGTCGACAGCACACAGCTTCCACTGATAAAGGGGCTTCAGGATATTTGACAAGAGCCAGGAATGTGTGGTAGAAATCCTGAGGATCCAAGTTAAGCCAGCCTAGGCCAAAATTTACTCTCATCAAGGGCAGCAATGGGAGGGAGGGAATGAGAGGGAAAGGGGGAACAGTTTACACTAAACAAAAGGAAAAATGTACGTATCACCTGATGTGGAAGAAACAGAATATTGTCAAAGCTCATAGAATTCACAAACATTATAGACCACGATAATGACAATTTGCCTTGTGAAGCTTAAAATGTGTTTGTGACTTTAAGTATCACTATCCCACAATACTGTGAAATTTATGAAATCACTTAATCTCAATTAAAAACTATTAAAATTTATTCTCAACAAATAAGCCAACCTAACAGTACATGCCCGTAATCCCAGGTACTTGAGAATTTGAGAAACATAGGTCGGAGGGAGGACCAATGGTCTGAGGACCCCTGCTCCCCAAGATGCACCTGGAAATTAGCTAGGACAAAAGAAGGCTAGGCTGGGGGCGTGGCTCAAGCGGTAGAGCACACGAGACCCTGGGCGCAATCCCCAGTACTAGCTACAAAAGAGAAAGAAGACAAAGAAGACAGACAGTTGGCAAAATTTCTAGTTTCATTGGCATTTAAATAAAGTATCATCAATTAAAGACCAACTGACCCAACAAGCGCTAGAGGGAAAAAAATCTACATGTGTGCTCCAGACCAAAGTATTTCAGTCAGCTTACAATATACAGGCACTGGCCTTTAGTAAGAGGCCAGCAAAGACGGTGTTAACCAGGGGACAAGACACCTCCTGTTCTGAATTCTTACAAAATGGAAGACATGATTACTTTTCCCCTTTACCCCAAAGATGCTAAATTCAATGTGTGATATCTGTTCCTCAGAAATGTTACTTTTTAAAAATTATTGAAAACCTTTAAGGGCAAGCTAGGCACTAGTGGCTCACACCTGTAATCCTAGCTACTCAGGAGGCTGAGATCTGAGGATCGCTGTTCAAAGCCAGCCTGGGCAGGAAAGTCCATGAGATTCTAATCTCCAATGAACCACCAGAAAGTGATGCTGTGGCTCAAGTGATAGAGCACTCGCCTTGAGCTGTAGAGCTGAGGGACAGCGCCCAGACCCAGAGTTCAGGCCCTATGACTGGCAAAAGCAAGCAAGCAAGCAAACAAAAAAAAAAAAAAACCCAAACCTTTAAGGGTATAAAATTAACTAAGAAAATATTAGTTTGGGTTGCTTAGAAAGAGTACTAATTGGAAATGTCAGTAACTATTACAGGGCCTAGCATTCCAAACTTTCAATTATACATGTTTTAAACACGAATATTACCTACCAAGAACTAGAAATAACTAAAACTAACTGTGGGTGTTATGGTGTAATGATGGAGCACCTGCCTAATAGTGTGAACCTCACGCCAGCACCCTCGCCAGACATAGAATGTCCTGCTACCACGACCACGGTCCATTCATCTGAAGTCAAGGTGCTTTTAAAGGCTCAACCATGACTTAGACTCACAGGGAGAACTGAGAGCCAACGCACTCATGACACTGGGTGCCCATATGTTAAGTATTACCACATGGTACTGGAAGCCAGGGTACTAAGTATTACTACATGGTACTGGAAGCCAGGGTACTAAGTATTACCACATGGCACTGGGAGCTGGGGTACTAAGTATTACCACATGGCACTGGTAGCTGGGGTACTAAGTATTACCACATGGCACTGGGAGCCGGGGTACTAAGTATTACCATGTGGAACTGGTAGCTGGGGTACTAAGTATTACCACATGGCACTGGGAGCCGGGGTACTAAGTATTACCATGTGGAACTGGTAGCTGGGGTACTAAGTATTACCATGTGGAACTGGTAGTGGGGGTACTAAGTATTACCACATGGCACTGGGAGCCGGGGTACTATTACTACATGGAACTTTCTGGGAACAGAACCTTGGCTGACAGACCATCTCTGATTCCTTAAACAATGAAATGCCTATGGGTTCTGGGGTCAGGACTGTCAGGTGACAGGGCTCATGGTCTCTGTGGGCTCTGGGGTCAGGACTGTCAGGTGACAGGGCTCATGGTCTCCGTGGGCTCTGGGGTCAGGACTGTCAGGTGGGTGGCAGGGCTCATGGTCTCCGTGGGCTCTGTGGTCAGGACTGTTGGGTGGGTGGCAGGGCTCATGGTCTCCGTGGGCTCTGGGGACAGGACTGTCAGGTGGGTGGCAGGGCTCATGGTCTCCGTGGGCTCTGGGGTCAGGACTGTCAGGTGGCAGGGCTCATGGTCTCCGTGGGCTCTGGGGTCAGGACTGTCGGGTGGGTGGCAGGGCTCATGGTCTCCGTGGGCTCTGGGGTCAGGACTGTTGGGTGGGTGGCAGGGCTCATGGTCTCTGTGGGCTCTGGGGTCAGGACTGTCGGGTGGGTGGCAGGGCTCATGGTCTCCGTGGGCTCTGGGGTCAGGACTGTCAGGTGGCAGGGCTCATGGTCTCCATGGGCTCTGGGGTCAGGACTGTCAGGTGGCAGGGCTCATGGTCTCCGTGGGCTCTGGGGTCAGGACTGTCGGGTGGCAGGGCTCATGGTCTCCGTGGGCTCTGGGGTCAGGACTGTCGGGTGGGTGGCAGGGCTCATGGTCTCCGTGGGCTCTGGGGACAGGACTGTCGGGTGGGTGGCAGGGCTCATGGTCTCCGTGGGCTCTGGGGTCAGGACTGTCGGGTGGGTGGCAGGGCTCATGGTCTCCGTGGGCTCTGGGGTCAGGACTGTCGGGTGGGTGGCAGGGCTCATGGTCTCCGTGGGCTCTGGGGTCAGGACTGTCGGGTGGCAGGGCTCATGGTCTCCGTGGGCTCTGGGGTCAGGACTGTCGGGTGGCAGGGCTCATGGTCTCCGTGGGCTCTGGGGTCAGGACTGTCGGGTGGGTGGCAGGGCTCATGGTCTCCGTGGGCTCTGGGGACAGGACTGTCGGGTGGGTGGCAGGGCTCCCGGCCTCCGTGGTAGAACCAGACACTTCGCAGACACACACCCCTTCAGTCCTACCTTTTCTGCTTCTGTCTGTCTCTCTCCTTCTTTGAAGAGGAGCCCAGGTGCTGCCCCTTCTCTAGCTCTTCTCCAGCAGCCTTCAGCACCCTTCCCTGAACAGAGGTTGGCAGCCTGGCGATGAGGGGGGCCACCAGCCACACGCCCCTGCGCTCTGAGGAACTACAACCAGAGGCAGGTGTTACGCCGTGAAGCAGCCGAGTCTGGCCTCACACAAGGACGGAAGCGCCAACATCACAGTTTGATGTGCAGGACATACTATGCAAAAATTTCCTTCTCATTTCTCAACTATCTTCCTCTTGCCAAAACCAGACATGTGCTTCTGCATTCCATCCACGTGTATGGAGAGCTTGGGGCAGGCATTGTATATGAACTGGTTTTTAGCAGTTCTCTGTGATTTTGGCTTTTTGACTACTAACAATCATTGTGTTGGCAAACAATACACTTGGCTAAATAGTTACACTATCAATTCTTTTAAGCTTTAAAATTCACTAGTTATTGTTTTTACCAAAATGATCAAAGACAGTCAATCAGTCATGATTAAAAGGATTACTTTACAATTCATACACCTACTGGTTCTAATACTGAATGCAAATTACCATGTTATATTACTGAATAACTGCCAAATAAGAAAGGTAACAGAATGTGTTTCCGATTTAATGAATACCATGGAACACAGTAGCTCCTGAAGAAACTGAAATCATGGCTTGAACCTGAGTGTATCTGTGGCTCGAAGGCTCCTGAGTCTACTCAATCAAGTATGTTAAATGCCAAGAGAGATATCATTCACCTAGCTTTATCCTCTAACTTGTTGCTTAATGGTAACTGTCACTAAGTAGTGATTTTCTCATACTTCCTGCATCTTAATTAAAAAAGTATTAGGCCAATAAAATTCACAGTAACCTGTGAAGAGTTCATGACAAAGCATGAAAGATACCTCAGAAATGTCTTTATTCCGTTTTGCCTCGTGCTACTCGCATCAGCATTTCCAACACCATGTGGGTGGAAGAGGCTCAGGCCAGCGCTAGAGGAGCTGCTATTCAAATCTGCAGACTGCTGGAAGACCTCTATGGTGGCCTTTGCAATATTGTCCAATAAGTTGTTCATTTCAGCCACAGAACCGGAGCCCTAGAGCGAGACATAAGGAAGATAGAGCCCACAAGGCTCTCCTTTCTCCTGAGATTTCATCCGTGTGCACCCTGCAACGCATACTCACAGGGTCCTTCACGCACTGCTTGATCATTAGTTGTAGTTCCAGCCAGGACTGTCTCAGTGTCCACTGCTCAAGATTCTGGGGAAGATGCAAAGATTTCCATTCGATATTAAGAACATTAAACCCATGTTAACATGTGAGTTCTCACAGCACTCATTCTTTCAAGAAGAAGCAGGGTAAGATGCACAAAAAGAGTTTACAAGGATCAAAGACTTACAATCAATTACCTATGTTCACTACACACAAAGAAACAAATAGCAACATCCAAATGATGTCACCATCTTGGCTAGACACTATGAGACATTTCATCTTTCAAAACCTAACAACTTCATTCCTACGTAATTCTAATGCTTCTTAATATGTCTAAGACTCCTTCCTCTCTCAGGTAAATGTAGTACAGATGTACAGATGTATCACTATTTGTGACAGCTGCAGCAATAAACTGAGGCAAATCCCCAGAAAAGGAATTTGAAAAAAATCAGAATCTGACTCAAGAATCAGAAACGGCAAAGTGAGGGAGCGTGACTTGTGATCCTCACAAACCGTGTATTAAGTGACAAACCCAAGGCTGGAAAGCAGCTCTTACCTGGAGAATGCGTTTGATGTGTTGTCTTTGCAGGTTGTCTCCCTCGGCACACTCTTTAATGCCATGCGGGTAGCAAATGAGCTGCAATAATTTCTGTGCTTGCACATTTGAAAGCACAGGGTCCAGTATAAGTTCTTTGTCTGTGCATAATCTTTCAGGTTCTTTTAAGCAATGTTCTCCTACCCATTCCTAAAAATGACACAGCAGTTAGATTGACAGGCACCAACTTACCACAAACCTATGTATCATGCTCTAAATTCTCAGAGCAAAATGGCACGAAAATCTGGTAAGACTCTACAAGCAAAAAAACATATGAAAGAAAAAGGAAAAAGTTTTAAAAAGAAAAATTCTAGCATGTTGGCTTATCAAAAACACAAGGTGGAACTCTGACTAAAGAGAACAACTTAAAATATATGCAAAAAAAATAAAATACTGGTATATATTTTCAAATGGAAAATGAGTACTTTTTTAGGGCACTATTTATGCATTTATTTATTATTTTATTTCAGAACTGGGTTTTAAACTGAGGGTACTTTGCTTTCTAGGTAGGTTCTCTAACACTCTAACATGCCTTCTAAATTATATTTTAATTGGATTTTAACACTTGCTCTGTAATGATATTTCTATAGTATATGCTCTTCATCACATTAACAGAATACATTAAACTGTATTCCGCTGAATAGGCAGAACATACAGATATTTAGAAAATACTGGACTTTATGAAACTGTTACCAACACAAATAGCAGTGCATAGCTACTTTCTATACAATTATTTTATAGTAATTTCAAAGAAATCTAACTGCTGGGTAGAGGTTGTACCAAAAACTTGAGGCTATAAATGCTGCGTTCTGGAGAGTCCCTGGTAATTTAAATTCTTAGCTCCCTTTCTTCATTACAAATTAGGACAAGAAATGAAAGTAACTGAACTGGACTCTGGGCCAGATCGCTTTTAGATGAACCTTGTTTTTCTACTGTAGTACCAGTAGTTTAATACTGACTGTCCATTAAAATTGCCTGACATCAGACCCCTTCTATCAAACTCAAAAGGAGGCAGTCAGAGCCTGTGGACTGCTAACGAAGCATCCTCTGCGTTATTCACACAGGCATGCTGTGTGTGTGTGCATATAGGCCTGTGAGCATAGGTCTGTGTATGCATGCCTGATGCTGGCGCCTGAACCTGCGCGTCAGCCCGGGTGTTCCCACCCCACAGAGCGCGGACCACATCCTCCTGGACCAGCTGCCGGGCGCCACAGAGGGCCGGGCATTCCTACTGCTGGCCTTGCTGCAGTTCTAGGCATCAAATACACTGTGGATCTCCCAGGGACCCACTGTGCACTCACAGCTGGAGACAACACACAACTGTCTCTCTCTACCTACTTAGCTACGAGGCAACTTCCATCACAGCTACAATAAAACACAAAAAACATGACTCTGACAACCTTATCTCTACAACAAATTACAAGCTATAGGAGGTATACAACTTTTTAAGTATCACTTTTTAAAACAGAAAAAGTCAGAAAAACAATGAATTGTCACCTGAAGCCAAGAAAGGCACAGGACAGAAGGGCTATTGAGGGGGGGCACATCTCTGAGCATACTTTTTGTGTAGTTTGACTTCTGGATGCTTGGTATGCTATGTAGACCCAGGGAATTAAAAAATTGAAACAAAATGCACACAAATAAATAAACCAGATTCTATTTCAAATTAAGAACAAATTCTATAAGGGTAGAAAAAACAATCTAGTTTTCTTTCTTTTCTGCATTTTTCTGCTGTTTTTCCAAATGGCATTTGCTTGCTTCCTTTTTCTGGGTTGGGGAGTGGGGCAGATGCAGTATTGTAAGCCTAAGGAAACAGGAACTTCAGCTCTCCTTGGGAGGTTTGTACTTCCTGGTGGTGTAGCAACCTTTAAAGTACTTCAGGTAGACTGCAAAATTAAGCAGAAGAGAGAGTGGCTGATGTCCCACCCCTCACCCATAATGCCACCTATGTACACAGGCAACACTGACTGCAATGCGAGGGAGGCAAAACACAACCCTGTGGGCTGGGATGAGAACTAGAGGTGTCATATGAATTTGTGACTACATACATACACACTCGTGATTTTCCTAGCTATCTGCTGAGAGCAATGAAGCCATGCTACTCTATTAAAAACAAAAAGCACAGGACCCAGATCTTACTAAGTGCCACTGTATACCAAACAGAACTCGTGTTCCAGGGGGAATGGGAAATAGCTCTGCAGCAGAGGAAGTGCGCAAATGCTTTTAAAAAATATGAAAATAGCCGGGCGCCGGTGACTCCGCCTGTCTGTCATCCTAGCTACTCAGGAGGCTGAGATCTGAGGATAGCGGTTCAAAGCCAGCCCAGGCAGGAAAGTCTGTAAGACTCATATCTCCAATAAACCACTGGAAAACCGGAAGTGACACTGTGGCTCAAGTGGTAGAGCACTCACCTTGAGCTTAAGAGCTCAGAGTTTGAGACCCACGACCAAAAAAATGACACAAAAGATCGGATACAGGATTCCCATTAAGTAAACCTAGAATGATTTGAACATTAAATAAGTAATCCATAAGGTTGTACATAGAAGGGTGGCGGTTTTCCATAAGCAGAATACAAACTGATATGGTGGAGGACTAGGGGGACTGGAAGGAGGGGAACCGTGCCATCTGACAATCGCCGTGGTGAAGACTGGTTAGGAGAGGAATGAAATGCATCTGAGGGTAGGGGAGTGTGAAGGGGAACAGAATGTGAACGATCTCTTACAATGACAAGTGGAAAGAGTCGGAAACGATGGAGAAGTACTGAACGGTGCAAGAGACACTGTGATCCAGCCAGCGTCACCAATGAACGCTGGGCCACGCAGAGCACATCACACCTGCAGACTGAAACTAAACTGCAGGCAGCAGAGACAAACCCCACTGCATCAGGTAACCAGCCACACCAAATGCTGCCTACAGTTGAGAAAAAATGTTAAATTCACACTAAATTTTCTAATTTTCACTAATTCTGGAAGAAATGAAGACTGAAGTATTCAAATTAAAGAAGAATAAAGTACCCATTGACTTTCAAAGGGTTCAAAACCTCTATAAATATACACACATACACACATATACTCATGTTCATACACATGAATCATAAAACAAAGTGGCAAAATACAAAAACATCAACGAACTTATATAAAGGATAATATAGAGGAGTTCATATTCTTGCAACTGTTTTGCAAATTAGGAATTACTACTAAATACAGTTAACAACAGGACAAAAAGGACTGCCTATGTACAGGCTTCTGAAACTATTAAGCAGTTGTCTCCAAAACAAGCTACACATTATTTTTTTTAAAAAAAGCCAACCTAAACTGAAAAAATACCTGTTGGCAGATAGTCCTCAGCACATATCGCGCATACTCCCTTAAATTGGCAGTTTCAATGGAAACCCCTTTCCCACAGGACTTGGAGCTCTGCGAGCTAGTCCAGATATCTTCCGTATTCCCATCACGCCGCAAGCCCCTCGCAGTGAACTCATCATTCTTCAAAGAGCTGACAGTGCTACTACCGATTTTGGCATCTCCTAAATAACAGAACCACAAAAGCAAAATCACAATTTTAGGAGGCAAGGAGGTTAGCTTTCAGGATTTAAAACATATGAAGGTTTTATTACTGAATAGCCAATTACTCAACAACAGAAAGAACAGACCAAGAGAACTAATAAGAGAACCCAGAGCACTGCTGCACATGGAATAAAAGCAAGTTCAAGACTCATTCCTTCTTCTATTTACAGAACTAAATATATTTCCACCAGATTTGGAAAGGTGATCCATTAACAGTCACACTTAGTCATCATGGAACACGATTTCACCAAAATTTCAAGCATCAAAGCACTCAAGTTCATCCAACTCATAGACAAGCGTCCTTTTCCATTTCTTCTATCCCGGTGACTTACTGTCTGCCCATCGGTCGGGGATGGAAGAGGGCAACGTAAACCAGGGAAGCTCTGAGAACTTCATCGACTGGCCAGCCCAGGTTCGTCATCTTTCTCATTCTCATACCCAACTTGGAAAAATGTTTGCTCAGCTAAGATTCAGGGCAAATCTTTTTTAGAAAGTGATTTTCCCTCCTATCAAAGACCAGGTGAGGTGGGGGGAAGAATATCTGAACAGTGGAAAATAAGGAATCTCTGTTTCTCCATGGTGAGAGTAATAGAATTTGGTAGTAAATACTGTCAAACGACAGCAGAACCTTCAAACTTTTTGTGTGCTTACCAACAGTAGCAAACCAGACCTTAACAAGGAAATTTCCTGGTACCAACAAATGAGTTGAAGCAAAGTCTTCACTGCCTGCAGTAAATGAACCCCGGACAGTGTAAAGGGGCTTTCTAAAGCCATCATACCAACCAAGAAAATACTCTGACTTGGCTGAAAAGGGGGAGGGGGGGGGCGCGCGGGTCCGGTCGTGGGGCCTGAACTCTGGGACTGGGCGCTGTCTCAGCTCTTCAGCTCAAGGCTAGCGCTCTACCACTTTGAGCCACAGTGCCACTTCTGGCTTTTTTCTTTTTGCTTATGTGGTGCTGAGGAATCGAACCCAGGGCCTCAGGCATGCAAGGCTCTACCACTGAGTCACCTTCCCAGCACAGGGAAATTTCTTTGAAAGTCTGAATGGCTTATGAATATTTACTTTTGAAATCTTAAAAATAGAGCACAAGCTGGGAATATAACTCAAATGGTAGAGCTCTTACCTAGCACGCACAAGGTCCTAGATTACAGTCCCAGTGTGCGTACACACACACACACACACACACACACACACACACACACACACACACACACACACACACGGTATTTCAATTCACCAGTATATTCTCATTAAAATACAAAAGACTGAAAGTTCACCTAAAGGAATTTACTTACTTCAAGAGAACTTTTCAGGAATAGAAGGAAAATACCAAATTCTAAACATACCAAAACGGAGTGTGTATTTGGCATGTTTAGGTGATATAAACAGCTATCTACACATCGTAAACCACTGTAGAAATTAGGAACCAAATTCCATAGAAGATCTTGTGATCTGGTCAACAGGAAAGCTAAGGACATGGTGAGGTCAGGTAAATTACAACTTCTGTGAGAGCAGGGACAAACACCTCTGCCCAAGTTGGATATCCCCTTTCCTTTCAATGTTAGGGTGACAGAGGTTCGAGGAACTGGGCTAGAACATTCTGCAGCTGACAGACAAGTAAACACACTCAGGGGGTGCTGTGAACACCCTGAAGCCCTGCTGACTTTTGGCAGGCCTGATCCTGACTCTTCAAACCCAAGGAGCCTCTCTATTATTTGAATAAAGCAGTAGGCAGATTTCACTTGTGATCTGACTGGTCATGCAGGTGGAGGTAGCAGTGATCTTGGCTTCTGCCATTAAAGCACCTGCCACATATTCACATCCAACATTGGCCTATCGAAAATCTATTTCCTGGATTCTCCAGTGAGCCTTAGCAATGCCATCAGAAAAAGCCTGTCCCGTCTTGGTGACTCTGACATTTATTACATAATAGAAGCAACCGCTGTCTTTTCTTCAAGCACTATCAGAGAAGGGACCTAAGCCCCTGTGCTCAGAGAGACTCTTCCTTCCCATCTAGCTGCGAAGGCTGTGGGTGTTTCAAGAGTGTGGATATAATTTGGTTGAACTTTCTATCCATCTGGTAATTCTGTTTTAATCAGTTTCTAACAGAAGGTAAAAGGCAATCATTAGTGAAGGACAAAAACAGGTACCCAAAGTTGGAAGTAGGCACCACTGAATACTTCCTAGCCATTCAAATCCTTTATTATTTACAGAGTAAATAAATGCCTAGAGTATCAGAAGTTAAAGCATAGATGGCTAAGGCCAGGTATGGCTGCCTCATCCCTTAATACTAGCAAATTAGGAGACTGAGATTTGAGGACCGAAGTCCAAGGCCAGCAAGGCAGGAAAGCCTGTAAGGCTCTGATCACCAGTTGATCACTGAAAAAGCCAAAGCAGAGGTGTGGCTCAAGTGGCAGAGCACACATGTTAAAAGCGGAGACAAACACTTCTGCCCATGTTGGATATCCCCATTTCTTTTAGCCTGTAGCAAAAAAACTAAGGGACAAAGCCCAGGCCATCTGTAGGCCCCAGCACTGGTGCCCACACACACATGCAGACATTCCAAGAAAACACATACAAATAAGGACGTAAAAGACATCTTAAACACTATGAATGAAAAATTACTGTCACAGCTAATACTGATTATTGAAAAAACAACTATCACTTGATTAAAGAAACTGAGGCAGAAGAATATATACTTGTTCAGGGTCCCAACAAAAGCAAGAATACTACTATTAGAACTTAATACTACTATTAGAACTTAATTTTTTTGATGTTCTGAACCCAGAATATATAGTGATTAAAAAGTAAACCTTTAGTGAAAATAAGTCATTGATGTTCTTCTACCCACAAATGCTATGTTTCTACCAACACATAAAGGCAAAATGATGCAGCAGTTCTAATGGTCTATTTCACGTCAGAGTGAGACAGTGTAATTATAGCAAAATGAAAGATACCTCTATATAAATTGCTGCAGGATCGATAGGGACAAAAGACAGAATTCTCAGAGTTCTGATGGTTCTTGGACTTGGAAGCCAACTAATTCCTCCCAGGACAAACAGAACACATGGTTTCAAATACAGTTTAATTACACCTGAAACTAAATACCAGTTATTTTGCCTCAATTTCTGGTGACAGTCTTACCAAGCATCATAATTGCTTTTAAGACAGCAAAAACGGCTCCCACTTCAATGCTGTTGTGAGCAGCGGCTAGCAGGTGTCTATCACAAGAGGATCTTATTCCAGGGAAAGGTTTGCCTAGAAAAACAACAACAAACCTGTAACAGCCTCCTGAGCATATGAGCAGCCATCTGCAGTCAGGTGTGGTCAGCAGGGCCTCACGGCTAGGTCATGGTCAGTACTGCCCTCGGCCTGCTCTAGGTGATGCTCCTGGGATTCACCAAGAGATGCTGGCAGTATTCTTGTTTTCTTTGTTTTAACTATTCAAAGTGTTTTTGCTCCTCAGAGAGATATGCCAAATATATCAGTAGAACTCCCAGGAACACATTATGTGTCATATGGATCTTTAGGGTTAGACATCACTGAAAGCTCTAAGATTTGTTCTTACCACTTGTGCTATAGGAAGAGCACACATGAAACCACTGCCCTGGGTGGGCTGATGTGGTTCAGAGCCAACACATGGTGTGATGGAGGATCAGGCTGCCCACCAGTGGGGCATGACCTCAGAGCAGAAGTATTCCACACATTTATTAATTACTTATTTCCCAATAAACCTTGATGTTACATAAGTGAGGCCCTGCCAGCCTGCCCACTGGAATTATTTCACTCCTTCATCACTCTCAGATCAGGAAGGAAGTTACTAAGCAGCTCGCGAGGTCACAGAGCTCCAGCTCCCCGTGAGCACGCACCCGCGTTTCCTGCCATGGTCTTACCGGTCGCCTGCGGTGACAGGCAGGCCTGAGGAGCTCGGAAGAGGTGAAGCAGGAGTCTGCACGTCATCCTGGCCCCTGGCTCCGCGTCGGCGTCTCCGCAAGCTAGGGGGCATGAAAAGGAAGCATCCTGACTCACACAGAACAGCTCCATGGGGCTGTCCACTAGGCTGAGTCTGCTGACCCCATCGGGCTGTCCACTCGGCTGAGTCTGCTGACCCCATCGGGCTGTCCACTAGGCTGAGTCTGCTGACCCCGTGCTTCTGAGAAACCCGAGTGCAGTCCATTAGAAATGGGCGCATGGTTGTTTCCCATTCCCGAGGGGTCGGCGTGACTCCGCACAGAGCGTCTATGGGTGACTCTGCCCCTGACCCCGGCGCCCCACCCCGCGGGGCGCCTGCCCCGAGCCCGGCGTGCCCCACCCCGCAGGGCCATTGGGCCGCGACCACTCACCTGCCGCCAGGAGCGAGGGCAGGGCAACGTGCTGCACGACGTCCTCCAGGGAGAAACACTGTCGTGCTATCAGAATAGCAATGAAAGTAGCTAATGAATCATGGAATGAAAGGTCACTCACCTTCAAGAAAAACATTGACAGGTTTTAATACCTAACACCCCGCAGCAGGAGCAAGATCAGTATCTAAGAGAAAGTAGGAAATTCCCACACGACCTCAAATCCCAATGTGACCCACAGAGGGAAATAACAATCTGCACCCCAATACCGTAAGAAGACACTGAGCCTAAACATGTATTCAATGGAACTGAAAAGCATGATAATAATTTTTGGCAAAATGCAATCTAATACACCGTTGAAAGGAAAGAGCATCAGGAAGCAAAGAAAAAGAGAAGGTCCTTCTTGCAGGAAAACAAGCCACAGTAATATTCTGGAGTTCCTTTCTGTGGCAACTAATGTGTTCTTTTTTATGTTGTTTTTTTTGGGGGGTCAGTTGTGGGGCTTGAACTCTGGGCCTGGGCGCTGTCCCTCAGCTCTTCAGCTCAAGGCTAGTGCTCTACCACTTGAGTCACAGCGCTATTTCCAGTTTTCTGGTGGTTTATTGGACATGAGTCTCACAGACTTTCTTGTTTGGGCTGGTTTTGAACTACGATCCTCAGATCTCAGCCTCCTGAGTAGCTAGGATGACAGGCATGAGCCACCAGAGCCTGGCTAATGTGTTCTTTAATGCGATTGAATTAATTTTAACAACTCTGAAAGTTTCCAGTTGACTCCTAAATTTTAAAAAAAAGAAAAAAAGTGGAACATTAATTTAGTAATAATGCAATCTGTACCTTTCCTGCTCTCACAGAAAGAAAAATGATACCTTCAATAGCCTTCCTAGTGATTGCTACTATATGCCAGGGACTAGGACTAAGCAACATTTAAAACAAAACAAAACAAAATCTAAGAGCACACCATGAAATTATGAGTAACCTATTTTTATGGATGACAGATTAAGGCAGAGTATACTTAAAAGTAACTGAGGACCTAATGAATGATGTTAAAGATAAAACCTTGGGTCTTTTCTAATTGAAAAATCAAGCCACAACTAATGGTTTGGTTTTTTTTTTTTTGGTCAGTCATGGGGCTTGAACTCTGGGCCTGGGCACTGTCCCTGAGCTCTCTGAGCACTCCACCACTTGCACCACAGAACCCCTTCCAGTTTCCTGACAGTTAATTGGAGATAAGAGTTTCATGGATTTTCCTTGTCCGGGACCTCAGCCTCCTGAGTAGCCGGGATGGCAGGCGTGAGCCACTGGCGCCCGGCTTGAATTGTACCTTTATATATTATACTTAAACCCAGAGAATGAAGGATGGAAGGAGGGTATGCGTTCAGTCCTGAGACAGCAGAAGTAGGGGGCAAACCTTCATCCAAGAGGCAGCTCTAAATTTTTTCTAAAGTTCCTTATCGTAAGTTTTACTAACATGTGGCATAAGTGACTCCAAAAAGTGATTTGGCAGAAAAATGTAAATCGGACAGACTTCTAAGAAATCCACACCTGTGGAGGCGGCCTGACTGCTGCGACGTTGGTGCTATCTCTATTTGAAGAGGACACCTCTTTGTCACTTTTGTAGACACACTCAGTAAGAAAGATGGGTACCTTCTTTTATCTCAAAGTTGGTTAACTGGTGATAAGGGTCTTATGGACTTTGCTGCCCTGGCTGGCTATGAGCTGCAGTTCTCAGATCTCGGCCTCCAGGGCAGCTAGGAAGACAGCTGAGCCACCAGCGCCCACGTCTTTTGGTCTCACTAGCCTCAGATGTTCATCAGCTCGCTTGCTGGGGCTCGAAGCTGTCACCATGCAATCCAAACAGGGCCCCTTCCATCTCACAGAAAGAGCTTGCACAGCTTTGCCTTACAGGGAGATCGACACGTCTTAGTGATGTCTAAGGCAGCACAACAAAATCGAACACCCTAGACAGAGATATTCCCTAGCCATTTCCAGAGTGTCCAATGCTTTAGTTGTCTCCTATGACATGGGACATGTCATAGACATGTTCAGTTATATCACAAGACGAAAATGAAAAATAAACAGCTGAGAAGAGATAGTATGTATACATATGCCTAAAATCAGCTAACCAGAAAGTTCAGGAAATAAGGAAACTCTTTCTTGGCTCCTGCTCAAATAAAGCTATCTATTTTATTTTGATTTTTTTCATGTATTTAATTGTTGGCAACTACACTGTAATGTATTGCTTTTGGACAGAGAAAGAAAAATACTTACATTGCAATTGAGTAAGTTAAATAATTTTAAAAACCAAATAGATTACTTGGTAGCTAAATTTAAACTTTTTAAACATATTTAGTGAAAAGGAAAACTTACATCTACAGTGCAAAGTACATCATTAAACCCCCACACGTGATTTGAAGAACAACAAAGAGCCTTCAGAACGCCCAGCCACTCTGAACTGAGGACCGTGCAACAGGCCGTAAGCTCGGAGGAGAAATTGGCTATGTCATTAATCCTAGAAAAGAAAAGCGCAACAGCAGAGAGTCACGGGGAGGTCATCATGTTAAGGACCTTCTGAACACTTTATTTCACCATTACGGAACAAGTCATTCATTTTCTGAGATTTAAGGATATAATAAATACCCTTTTGTCAAATAACATTTAGAGCCTTAATCAATGACAACAAAAAGACTTTAAATGCTTCGTAGTAATCAATAATATCAAGGAATAAACAATAGTTGTTGCCACACTTATGTAAATTGGCATTTTTGATTATGTGAACAGAGCTGATCTAGAGCTTTACATTTTTATGGATATCTAAAGTTAAAGACACTACATAGTATAAGTAGATTCAAAGAGTTTTTTATTTGTATTTTAAGGTATGTTTTTGAAACTGATTATATCATACATAGAGCATACCTAAAGTATTCCATGACTGAGGAATAAACTAGAAAGCATTATTGTTTGGGATACGAATATTGTAGGATAGAGCAGAGGTGAATTCAGAAATAAAGACAGGGAAATGAAGGCAAATGAGAGGCAGATGTAAGCACAGACAAAGTGCTGAAGACCTCAATTCCAAGTAGCAGCCCGGCGGCACCCCTGTCCAGGGCAGAACCTACCTGCTGGGGTCCTGGTGGCCCATGCACACATTCATGAGGGTGTTGCAGACAAAGCTGTAGCGGTTGGCCGCATTGTCGCTGAGGATCTTGCCCAGCACCGAGTAGTTGATGCTGCGGGCTGAAGGGTTCTCAATGAAGTCCAGCATGAAATCTGGGTCCCAGCGCAGGTTGGAATTTGCAGGCATCACATTGTTATATATGGTTTGCTTTACCTTTGAACAGGCACTACTGAGGTCACAAGAAGAAAAATTAGAAACCAGCAAAAAACACAGAACAAGAAAACCATTGCATGTAAGGACATATGAAGTCCCCTAAGAAGTTCTAGGTGATGAGTTCTTAATCTCACATTCCTAACAAGCTGGGCATGGTGTCCAAAGTGTAGTAATGTCTCAATGAATCATTTACTCAATTTATGAAAGGAAAAGATAGAAAACTTTTAGTGTTAACCTTATTTTCTATATCCTTTCCAAAAGCTGTTCACTAACGTTATCACAAAGTATTATTACTTAAAAACGCAAATGGATTTGAGTCCCACATTGGACATCCTGGTAAACTACTGGAGGCACATGGACCCTGTGCCAAAGCACATGGGCAGTGGCGCAGCCATGAAAAACAGACATGCGTGCCTGCCTTCTGGCAGCTTCTGCTCCATGAGGGTGAGGTGAGCTCTGTGATACACCTCAGCAGCATTACTTTTAAATTACTTTTTATAGGAGCTGGGTATGGTGGTGAGTGCATATGAGTCTAGCATTTGGTGAAGCTCACAAGCTGAAGACTAGTCTGGGCTACATAGCAAGACAAAGGCCGGCCAAACAAAACAAGGAAAAAACAGTCTACAGACTGTTTACCTTAGGCTGTTGCCATTGTCAACAGCTTTAAGGCAACAGATTGCTCCCTTCGATGCTTACTAAAATATAGCTTCAGTCTCCTTTCTTCAGAATCAGTGCTGAGTGGTGTCGGTTAAAAACACAGATGTCTGGGCCTCATTGTAAGTTTTCAACAAGCTCTCCCAAACACATGAAGTGCCAAACACTGCGTGTGTAGCAGTGGTCTAACAGAGAGAACTGGAATCACCGTGGAGCAGTGGTCTGACAGAGAGAACTGGAATCACCGTGGAGCAGTGTTCTAACAGACAGAACTGGAATCACCGTGGAGCAGTGGTCTGACAGTGAGAACTGGAATCACCGTGTAGCAGTGGTCTGACAGAGAGAACTGGAATCACCGTGGAGCAGTGTTCTGACAGAGAGAACTGGAATCACCGTGGAGCAGTGTTCTGACAGAGAACTGGAATCACTGTGGAGCAGTGTTCTAACAGACAGAACTGGAATCACCGTGGAGCAGTGTTCTGACAGAGAGAACTGGAATCACCGTGGAGCAGTGTTCTAACGGAGAGAACTGGAATCACCGTGGAGCAGTGTTCTAACAGACAGAACTGGAATCACCGTGGAGCAGTGGTCTAACAGAGAACTGGAATCACCGTGGAGCAGTGTTCTAACAGACAGAACTGGAATCACTGTGGAGCAGTGTTCTAACAGAGAGAACTGGAATCACTGTGTAACAATAATTACAGCCTTCTACATTCCGTAGTCGTCTTTTTTTCAGGCAAGTAATAGAAAAACTTGTCAATAACCAGGGAAAGTTGGGGTATGTTTTTTAAATGACCCTCTTGATCATCCTTTGCTGTGCCGTTCTTTGTATTCAGCTCTTCATTCACTTTCATTCGCCACAGATCTTGGGTTCTTCGTGTGGATCACAAAATGCTAACTGGGTGCTCTCCTGGTCCCCTAACGCCACAGACCGAGTCTGCTTTGCCTACCATATCCTCATCTCAAGTGTTTAATAAAATGGACTGCTGCACATTGTAAATTTACCAATTTTTTGTTCAACTACTGAATTCTACCAATCTTTACATTTGTCTTTAGAAATAATTACGCCTTTTTTCTTAATTTTTATGAGGCATACTCTACTCTTCTCAAGCATGTAGATTTCTGTACAGTGTTCTAACTGACTGGACTGGGAAACTCCTGAATTCTGCAACTCATGCCTCATTTCTGGGCTGCCTGTTCTATTTACTGTAGTCTGTTTACAAATTTCTATGTTGAATGAAATACTAGTTACAATCTAACCGGTCTCCGTGGTATATAAGCCAAAAACCCAGAAATTTTCCTTCTGAAACTACACAAGCCAGAAAAAACAGCTAGAATAATGAGATCAATATGTACTGTAAGGCCAGAGGGACTTGTGCTCAAATCTAGTGTGGATCATGTATGAATTATGATTGAGAACAACGGCTTCTGGTAGGGAAGCCTACCAGAAATCCCTGTGGTAGCTGTGAAGATTCATGATTTTCTTTTTCGTTCTGCTGGTTCTAGGGCTTGAACTCACAGCCTGGGCACTGTCCTTGAGCTTTTCTGCTCAAGGCTAGCATTCTACCACTTGAGCCACAGCTCCACTTTTGGAGATGAGTGTGTCAGGCACTTTCCTGCCTGGGCTGGCTTCAAACTCTAATCCTCAGATCTGAGCCTTCTGAATAGCTAGGATTATAGTGTGAGCCACCAGGGCCCAGCTGATTCCAGGTCTCAGTAGAGAAATAACCTGGTACCTGAGACATACCTGTCTTAAGCTACGGTAGCTATGATTAGCATTACAATTCCCCAAATGTTCCTCTCTGCATAACTATATGTGTTTTATGTAAGATTATTAAAATTGTTTTATTATACAAATAGAAATATTGCTGCACATCTAGCTTGCTTGCATACTCTGCTAATACCAAAACAATCCTAGCCACAAGATATCTCAAGAAAGTTACACTATCTGGACACCAGTGCTCACAGCTGTAAACCTAGCTACTCAAGAGGCTGAGATCTGAGGATTGTGGTTCAAAACCAGCCTGGGCAGGAAGGGCCTGTGAGACTCTTCAATTAAATACCAGAAAACCAGAAGTGGCGCTGTGGCTCAAGTGGTAGAGCACTAGCCTTGAGCTGAAGAGCAGAGGGACAGTGCCCAGGCCCAGAGTTTAGGCCCCATGATTGAGAAAGAAAGAAAAAAAAAAAGATTGTATTGAAATCTGGCCCATTTCCACATTTTGTCAAGACTGTGAAAACGTGATTTTTGAGGGTCTGCCTTCCACTCCGTAGTAATGCCTACAAATGAGTCAGGTACCTGAGGGCACCATCTGCAGTGCCCAGCAGATGTACGTACTGGGAGGGAGCACTGTGTGCAACAGAAGAACTTTGTGCCCTAAGAAATTTACATTCTACAGAGGAGCATGATCATAACTCAAAGTGTAACAAAAGGGAGGGGGGAAATACTGGGTTTCGACGAACGAACAGGAGCTGGGCAAGGGAAGCAGAACCATGAATGGCATATAGAAGCAAGCAGGCAGATGGTGGCGGGAAGCCCTGAACAGCAGGTGAGGGTAAGCACAAAGGGTTGGAGAGACAGGCCTACAAAGGCCCCGGGGTGAGCGAGGTCGGGGAGACAGGCCCACAAGAAGGAGACCGGACACTATAGAGTGTTTGAAAGGTTAGGGAAAGAGGAGAGGGAGGGAGGGAGGGAGGGAGGGAGGGAGGGAGGGAGGGAAGAGAAAAGAGAGAAGGGAGGATAAGACAAGACAGGATATAGACAAGTAGGTAGACAGACAGGTAGGTAGTCAGACAGACGGAGAGGCAGATCGATCTGCCTGGAAAAGCTCTACAAGAGCACGTGGGGCCGAGGACCCTTGGCTGACTCACTAGGGAATGGTAACATTCTGCAGCCTCACGGAGAGTGTTAAACCCAAAGTAACACTTAAAGCCTGATTTTTAAAATGGGCTTATCAAAATCAAGGTGGTCCAGAAATAAAAGCAGAGCCTCCCACTAGTGTAAAGGTGTGTGAGACATTGATCATCACCTCACTATGCCTTACCTAAAACATACTGCGGAACGTCTGTTGGGCTGGGGCGGTGGGCTTGCGAGGCAGGCACCCTGGCCCTTGAGCCATGCCTCCAGCTGTAAAACTTACAAAAATATAAACCCTCAAACACAAAAAATCATCCTCTTATTGTTGAAGACATGAAAGTCAAAGTTATGGTTTATGACATAAAAGTCACGGTAACGTAGGGTTAGAAAAACCCCATGATCACATACCTACATCTTTACTGTGCTTTTTCTTTTATTGCAGTTAGGTATCTTTAGTATTTACTTCAAACTAATCTTGAATATATCAACCAGACACATAATGGAAGTGATTGTTTTTCCCATTTCCCATTTTTTTTTTTTTTGGGTCCGGTCGTGGGGCCTGAACTCTGGGCCTGGGCGCTGTCCCTCAGCTCTTCAGCTCAAGGCTAGCATTCCACCACTTGAGCTACAGCACTACTTCCGGCTTTTTTTTTTTTTTTGCTTATGTGGTGCTGAGGAATCGAACCCAGGGCCTCAGGCATGCAAGGCAAGCGCTCTACCACTGAGCCCCATAATAGAAGTAATTGTAATGAGTTTATATTATTAAAGTGGATGGCAAAAGTGGAGCCAGGCTGTGGTCTGAGGACAGTCCAAGCAAATACGTTCACGAAAGCCTATCTAAAAAACCAAGCTGGGCATTGTGGAACAGACCTGTAATACCAGCTATGAAAGTAAGAGTGAGAGGAACACGGCTGGGAGTGGGCTGTAGGCAAAGGGCAGAAGACTACCTGAAAAATAACTACATCAAAAGGGCGGAGGCCTGGCTAACGGACCCGCCCCAGCACCACGACACAAACACCCCAAACCAAGGGTACCACCACACACAGACATGGGCTCTGGATTTTCTTCTACTCACCTAAAGAGGTCTCCAAATTTACTTCTGAGGTGGCTACAGGACACGTAGAGATCGTAGAGGTAGGCTAAAATGCACCTCTCTGGAGAAGAACACTCCGAGGGGTTGGCCACGTGCTTCACCGCGCCGCACAGCCTGGGTGCAGAAGTAACAAGAGGCATGAGGCACCGGTTCTGACACTGTGCATGTCGTCTGCCTGCGCCTTAAAGAACACCAGGAAAGGTACCGGATTGTTAACACCAGTCACACAGCACAGTGTGTGTTATAAAGGTTTCAACAACAACAACAAACCCAACCAACCAAACCCTCCACACGTCACTGGGGGAATAAAGGCAGTGGAAGGAACGCCTCCAAACAAGACATCTAGGGAGAGGAGCTCAGCAATCAAGCTGCTCTGACTAGAATGCAAAAAGAAGGGTAAAGTGGAAAAACACACAAAACAATTATGAATGTAGTCAGCAGGAGGACTGCAGAGTTCACTCCTTTATAAAGAAGCAAATCTTTAAGGAAGCAGTTGTGAAAAACCTATCTTTAAGGGCTGGTTCTGGCTTGAATTCATAAGCTGGAGTCACATGCTCCTTGATCATCCAACTTAGAAACAAACATATCTGTGTTTTTCTTATATACAGAGATAAAGCCTCATCTTTTTAGTGACACATCTGTGACACATTACAATACTGTGCTACCTTTCCCCAACTACAACCTCTCCGTCCACAGTTCATAACACCAAAATCTCTACAGCACAGAATGACACACTTACAGTCTGTCTACCTGAGTCTAACGCTACCGTCTTGTACACTCTCAGAGTTCAGTATAACACTCCACTCACATTTTCTCGGATAGATGGGACCAGCGATCTGAAAAGGCCCTTAGAAACCTGGTTCACCATCCTCTCTGCTCAAAGAGGGCTCTGAGGCACAGCAAGGGGAAATTTCTTGCACAGAGGCAAAAGCTACTTAGTAAGCAGAATTAGGGGAGGCCTCTCTGCACCATTCAGGGGACAAGGAAAAGCCTGCCTCCCACAGGCTAAGAACAAGAGAACCGTGGGTGTCAGAGGCGGACCCCAGGAGACCAAAGAACACCAGTAAATGAGTTTCCGTATATTATCTTATAAGAATGGCTTGAATTAAAGAACAGGGACAAATTCCCAATTAGAAAGATTTGTTCAAGTCTGTAAGATGCATTAGCTATGTGATGTTAAATATTTAAGTTTTATAGCATGATTGTGGTCTACTAACTTATTTCCTAAATTAAAATACATTGTCTTGTATTTACAAGTTTGAGATCGTTCAGATTCTACTCCTTAATGTGTATGTACAATGAATGTATATAACAGCCAGCACTTTTCCTTTCTCCAGAAAAGCTGCTGTTAAATTGATTCAACTTGTCCAATAATCTAGAATTTGTTCCATGTGCTAGATACAAAGATGTTATCAAATTGAAGAACCCCACTACTTTTGAAGCCAAGAGCAAAAATATGGGGGGGAAACCCAGATTTTCTTTTGTCATAACAGGCTCGAAAGGGGGAAAAAAGGGATGAAAGGGACTTGAATCCACTCTGAAGAGCTTGCTCTACTCGGCTGGTACTGGGACGGTAGTCAGCGATTCTTCAGCCCAAATTCACTCATAGTGGCAGAGACAATCTTAGGCTACAAATACAAAGTGAAAAGAAGACTGACAATAAAATCATTTGTTTCAAGTTAGCTTTTGACAAAAAATATAATTTTAATCAAAAAGAAGAAACTGAAGAATCAAATGTCCAAAATGGCAGAGTGTACAACGCTTTATCTGGTGTTGGACTCCCACATATATATATTGTAAATGCACACAAGAGAAGTTTCAAGTGTCCATTATTTACAATACATGAGGACGATGGGCACTGTCAATGACAGAATGATGTAAATAAGCAACCCTGTACACTTATCAAGGGGTAGGAGCAAGTCAGAAAGGAGCAAAGAACCATACTTAACTGAAAAACATATTCTTTACAGATTTGTTATCTCCAATACATGTTTTCTGGCAAATGTTCTTTTAACTACAGTCTTATTGCAACAGCCATCAGAATTATTTTTTCTCTTAACAGTTTTATGTAGCTGGGCACTGGTGGCTCATATTTCTACACAGAGGTGTGAGATCTGAGGATCACGGTTCAAAGCCAATCAGGGCTGAAAAGTCCCCTTGAGACCCTTACCTCCAATGAACCACCAGAAAACCAGAAGTGGTGCTGTGGCTCAAAGTGGTAGAGTGCTAGCCTTGAACAAAAGAGCTCAGGGACAGTGCCCAGGCTCTGAGTTCAAGCCCCATGACCAACCAAAAGAAAAAAGAAGTTTTATGCATTTTAGGACTGGAAATAGTTATGTTATTTTTCATACTAACCCTTCAAACACCTGGGCTGTCTGATCAGGATTCAGGATCAGACAGCTGTGGTACCGCCTGAGGACAGCCACTATGCAGACGCACAGTCCCGTTGTGTAATTTCCTGCCAGGCTGGAGGACTTTAGGAGCAGTTCAGCTTCCACCACACTCAGCTCATTTAGTAGCTACAACAGAGAAGAGGCTGGATAAAACTGCCGTTGCCCAAGCAAGTGGGAAAACACGTCCCTCCAAAGACCACTAAAATAGTGTCATTTGCTACACCACCCTTCCAAAACACAAGTACTGGCAAGTCAAACTGGTTTTTGCTTGTAAGCTTTAACCAATTTTTAGATTCTTCTTCTGTCTAGACATCAGGTGCATATAAGGAAGTACCCAGTGCTAAATCAGTTACTGAAACTTTATGGCAGCCTAGATTCTGAGCTAGATAATTCTAGTGAGCATCCCCATTCTATATTTTCCCTCCTTAAACGTAACAGGCAAGTTTCCATCATTTTCTTCTTATTAATAAAGGTAATGCCTACTATAGAAAAAAATAAAGCCAAGTCTAATATCTGTTCACTAATACTAGAAACAGATCAACTAAAATATCTTAGAAGTACTATGGAAGAGAGGAAAATTATTAGGCTTTAGATTTTTTTTTCTTTCAACATAAAATGTGCTGTAGAATGGAGGGAAAATAACCTTTCTTCATTACAAAGACAAAAAATTACAAAACTAAAAGAGAATTTTCAAAACTCTCACATATTAGATGATATCTATTTTTAGCACCAGTAATAAGTAATTAAAATGAATGCAAATATAACTATTATACTACTTATACTGTTAAATCAGAATGTCAAATTTAAAAAAAAATAAGAGAAGAATGAGTATGTTTATTGGTAAAGTTATGGTCAGATACAAACAAAAGTTTGGGTGTGCTGTTCTACAGCAGGGCGGCCACGGACATACTGTACATTACAAAAAGCTTGAGGAAATACATATCTGTATGCAAAACAAAATTATACAAGAGATGCCTGTACCTAAGCATCACAGGGTGTGTGATATGTATGTTTTTACGTATCAATTAAGAAATAAATTTAAGCCAAGATGGCGGGGCACGTCCTAAGCCCAGGCTAGTCAGGAAGCTGAGGTGAAAGGTCACTTGAAGGGAGGCTTCATGCCCAGCCGGGTCATTTGTTACACCTATGGGCACACTTTTATAAATGCAACGAAATGCATTTCTTTTTTTTTATTTTTTATTTTTTTTGGGTCCGGTCGTGGGCCTGAACTCGGGGCCTGGGTGCTGTCCCTCAGCTCTTCAGCTCAAGGCTGGCGCACTACCACCTGAGCCACAGCGCCACTTCCGGCTTTTTTCTTTTTGCTTATGTGGTGCTGAGGAATCGAACCCAGGGCCTCGAGCATGCAAGGCAAGCGCTCTACCACTGAGCCACCTTCCCAGCCCAGAAATGCATTTCTTGATGCCTGGCAGAATTGTTGTCCCACAGGGTCTTCCCAGCACCTGTATTGCGAAATCAATCAATCCATTGATATTCAGTGCTGGCTCCATGAGATCAAAGATGAGCTGGATGTGGTGAGCCAGAGGGAGGTGGAAGGAGGCCCCAGAGGCAAAGCTTGTGATCTGCTCCAGCACGTTGTTAGAGATCTGCGGGCAGGGCAGGGCATAGAGAGAGAGGGTCACACCGCTGCTGGGGGCCGAGCTCCCCCAACAGAGAGGGTCACAACGCTGCTGCAGGCCGAGCTCCCCCAACAGAGAGGGTCACACCGCTGCTGCGGGCCAAGCTCCCGCCCACCTCAATTCTGACTGCTCAAGGGGATTCCCTTCAGAGAAACAAAAACCATGTGCAAAGCAAACTCCCTTACAGTTATCATTTGAAGAAACAGGACCTGGTCACTAAGATCTACATCTTACTGATTTTAAAACAATCTATGACTGTTCATGTTTTTAGACGATCTAATTGAATTTGCACCAGACTGTAAAGCAAACAGATGAGCAGATGTGGTTTCTTCTTGAGTTCATAGTATTTTAATTCAATCAACAGATCCATCCTTCATCAACAGTGATATGGGATCAATATGTAATTGAATAAAAATTACATTAGGGATTGTTTTACATATTGATTATCGTCATCAAATAAAACACTTACACAATAAAAACATATCGGAGGTAGGCAACCTGATACTTAAAAATGAATGGTTTGATACACTCCCAAGTATAGTTGGTAAAATGTATTTGTGAACTTATTAAGGCCAGAAACATATTGCATAGAAAAGCTTTTTAAGGAAATAAAAATATTATACATGTAAACAGAGAACCTCAAATGGCTACCTGAGATGTCACTTGATGCTGATCAAAATATGAAAGGAGCTGGAGTTTTGTGAACACTGCCTCCAGTGTTGGGAAGGCCTCTTGTTTGTTCTTCCTGGCTCTTTGTCCTTCATCGCCAACTAAATAAACGTATAAAATAGATTATTTTTGCATTTAAATGAAATGCTTAATTTTAAATACTTCTTACAGAGGCAGAGCATGCATTAGGAAAGTGAATAGTTACACATTTCCACAACATGAATGCGTGCCTGTCATGAAGGAGCCCCCAAGCCCACCTAGCACTTTCCATGCTACTCACCCGTGGAGGGGTGGTTCATCGAGTCTCCCTGCAGCCTGGACTTCGGGCCCCCATTTAGAGCTTTACACAGATGACTCACACAATGTATACTTTGCACTGAACAACACTGTGCTTTGAAGACTGAGTCATTCTTGATGTGACTTCGACATGTTCAACAAATGAATACCCACATCTGGCACTGCAACATCAATTCCAGTGAGGAGTATCTATATTCTGGCTATCATGAAAGCGTCCCTAGGAACACTTATGACTAAATGACTTAAAATATAATCCCAGTCTGGCTATGATAGACCAGGTACTTCCTGGGCCCTTTCTTTGGAGAGTCACCACTAATCTTTTCTGAATCAAAAAAGACATGTACATAATTCCAAACTGTTTAGGGTCAGTAGAGGATTAAATCTTACCACATTAGAAAAGTACTATGCTTATCTCCTTAACATAAGGAGGTCTGAAGAAAATTCCAACTAAAAATATAAAACAAAAACCTGAGTTTAAGGAGGACTATTGTTCTTAACAGTTTTAAGAACTTATTATAAAACAGATTTAATCCTACTGTAAAATATCTTAAAATGTCTTTACAAAACCAAATGGATTATATGTGCTTATTTTAAGGTCCTTTATAGAACTTTTATTCTAAGTGGTCAGGATCAATAGACACAAGTTCTGCTGTCCATAGGTCCTTTTCCTTTTATTTGGAGGTTTACTTTCAGGGAATTAATGTCACTTTACAAATCTCTGTTAAAGACGTAAGACATAAACAAGATGTAACCAATCTCCAGGGCTAGGGTGCAGCTCATGGATTCCCAGCACCACCAAGAAGAAAACTTAATTCAGTGAACTTGAGAATAGTTTGCTAAAGGCAAATGGAATACTTTTAGAAAATAAAATTTAAAAGGTGATGCCCCCTTTGACAACAAGCAATTAATATTATAGCCAAACACAAAAACAAATTAGACTGATGCATTATAACTGGCTAGCACAAAGCAAGTAGACATTGTTACCAGATGAATCGACATGAAGAGGTGCTGAGGTAGCATATGTTAGAAGCCGGTACCACTTTTGTGATACTGACTTCGTGAATATCTTTTTTTTTTGGGGGGGGTGGGGGGGGTGGTCCGGTCGTGGGGCCTGAACTCTGGGCCTGGGCGTTGTCCCTCAGCTCTTTAGCTCAAGGCTAGCGCTCTACCACTTGAGCCACAGCGCCACTTCCGGAATTTTTCTTTTTTCTTATGTGGTGCTGAGGAATCGAACCCAGGGCCTCAGGCATGTAAGGCAAGCGCTCTACCACTGAGCCACCCTTGAATATCTATTTTTATAAGCACAAATTGAGCATGGAATTCCAACTTCGTTCTAGCTGCACATGTCACGAGCACATTTAAAATACCAAAGGTTTTTTATTTTCATTCCTAACAACATTGATCTAAGGCTGAAGAACTTCAATAGTTTTGCAGGCAAAGTGTTTCAAAAGAGCAGTTAATAATATTTGGTTCTGCCTAGGACCAAAATAAACAAAAATATTAGGACTTGAAGCAGGTCCAGCTAAGAAATCACAAATGCACCTTTTTGCTTATACTAATCAGTACTACATACACCACATACAGCAAACTAAAAAAACACCTTATAAAAGTCTAACTTTGGGGCTGGGAAGGTAGAGCGCTTGCTCTGCCTTCAGTAGAGTAGACGGCTCAGTGTAGAGCGCTTGCTCTACCTTCAGTAGAGTAGACTGCTCAGTGGTGGAGCGCTTGCTCTACCTTCAGTAGAGTAGACGGCTCAGTGGCAGAGCGCTCGCCTCCCATGCAGGAGGCCCTGGGCTCGATTCCTCAGCACCACATAAGCAGAAAAAGCAAGAAGTGGCGCTGTGGCTCAAGTGATAGAGCGCTAGCCGTGAGCTGAAGAGCTGAGGGACAGCGCCCAGACCCTGAGTTCAAACCACACGACCAACAACAACAACAACAAAAAAGTCTAAAACTCGTTAGTGGAGGTTCTCAGAAAAATACTTAATTTAATGCTATTTACCTGAGTAACACTAGTCATAATATACAGATGTTCTTATTTATTTTATCTTCACTTGCTTTCATAACTTGTATTGTTATTCTTCTGCTGCTTAATTTTAATTATTTTTAATCTTTAAATTTTAAAATGTTGAGATATTATTAAAGTTCACTTATGGTTTCAGAAAAACATCATTAACACCCTAAAAAAGATGACTTAATAAAATGTTAAAATGAAGTCTGACCATTCTTAAATTGCAAATGTTTTAAACTTCAGGTTAGAACATGCATACTGATGCATAACGATGGAATTAAAAATCTCACTAAAACCTGTTAAGACTGGGAGAATGAGAGGGAGAACTAGAGAGAGAGAATCTGATTAAAATACAATGTATGTATGTGTGAAAATCATGGTGAAACTCAATTACTCCACCCTAAAGAAAAGGAATGACAGGAAAGTTACGTAACCTGGTTGGGGAAAAGGGGGGAAAAGGTAACAGTGGGAAGAGGGAAGGTGAGGTTTGTTCCTCAAAATCTTGTTTTTAAGCCAAATGCCGATGGCTCACACCTGTAATCCTACCTACACCAGAGGCAGAGATCTGAGCTTTGCAGTTCGAAACCAGCCCGGGCAGAAAAGTCCCTGTGAGACTCTTATCTCCAATTAACCACTCAAAAACTGGAAGCAGAGCTGTGGCTCAAAGTGGTAGAGTATTACCCTTGAGCACAAAGAGGCTCAAGGACAGCGAACAAGACCTGAGTTCAAGTCCCACAACTGACAAAAAAAAATCATATTTTTATGTGTTCCCCAAAATAAAATGGATGCTACACACAAGCTCTTTTTTCCCCAAACGGGCAAATTTCCATTCATTTGAAGTACAATCAGCTAGCTTCAGATGCACATACTAACTTTAAGTAGTGTAACTATTTACAGATGGTGAAAATTTAATGCCTTACAGTATCTTTGAAGATGTCCCTTCAAAGTGGTGTTTCTGACACTGATATCTCAAAAAGCCATACTGAACAAGTGATTTTCTCTTTGTGAATTTATGTTCTAGAAGTACCTATTCAAGGAACTGGTACAAAGACAAAAGAGTATAGTCTGGCACTTAAAAAAAAACACGAAAAAGATACCATGTTACTTCCCGCTCTTTCCCACTTTAGGCCTTCCAACACTGGAAATTCCCCAGTGTACAGAAATACCATTGACAGGTAATTTAGATAAACCGCGGCTCCCACCCAAAACTGCACCGCACTCCAAAAATAGTTGAACAGGCTCCTGGCAGGACTCAAGCCTGGTCTTCTATTGTCCCATATTTCCTCTTGTCTCTGAGAGAGAAGAGAACCAAACAACAGACTGATTTCCTACACAAAGCGGGGCGGGAGTGCTTCCCATCCATGGCCCCAGGTTCCCGGGGTGCCAATCCTTTTCTGGTAATGAAAAGGACCTAGAAAATGTGATGCAAAAGCTGTGTTTAAAACTACCACCTCAGCTATCAGAGGGCCAGAACGTCGTATCAGACTGAAACACGTCCTGCCCGTCCCTCGTTTCTTACTGACAGAGGGAAAAAGCTGGTTGAATTATTTGTACAACTATGTTTTTCTCCAGGGAAGACCTAGCATGAAAAGCCTTGTGACTTAGTTGCTAGTTGAGTTGTACAGACAACCTGGACGAGGACAGCAGGACGGGAGAGGTTTCCATCATGTGTGGCAACCGTGTAGCTGGCACAGGGTAAATTCAAGCATTCTTCTCCATTCAAATTAATAAAGTAGTTAAGAACAACACATGGGTGGTAGAGAAGGGATGACATCATGAGATAAACAAACCTTGGAAAGAGTCATTAAGCAGATGAGAAGTAGATAACTACAGAATTTTAATTACACAACGGGGTGACAGAATATAAAGTCATAGCTTTACTATAAAAATTATGTAAAAAGCCCTGGGAAAGAGAATTCCCAAGCAAAGGAAGCATCACCTTGCAACATCCAATTGTCTTTCTTACTTAAAATTATTTGATGATATAGTAACTATCACTATCTGTTACAATGATCCTTCTGGATAATGTATGAAAAGATCAGCAACTATGCTGGCATGATTTTTCAGCTAACATGGAATATGAGTGCCACAGAGCAAAAGCACATACTTTAATCTTGAAAAAATAATATTAAAGAAACGGGGCAATCTCAAACACGGGTGCTCAGGCCCATAATCCTACTGATGCAGGAGGCTGGGAGCTGAGGATCACAGCTCAAAGCCAGCCCAGGTAGAAAAGTATTTCAGACTCTTATTGCCTATTAAGCACCCAAAAGCTGGAAATGGAGCTGTGGCTCAAATGGTAGAGTGCTGGCTTTGAGCACAAAAGCTCAGAGACAGTGCCCAAGCCCCCAGAACAGCACAAAGAAATGAGGAAATAGACTTCTTACAGACTAAGGGCTTTCCCACTCACCCTTCAGCACTCCATTACTACTGCAGAAAATGTGTCACATAAAAGAGCAGAGAATAAAAATAAGACCCGTAACACCTATGAAGTGCAGTGCATGCCACAAAGGTTGCTATTAATGGAAGAAGGTCTTGGACGTTAAATGTGCTTATTCATATTTCAACATGACAGTCATCAGGAGGAGGAAACGCTGCAACAGTGACGTGGGCCACTCTGATAACACCGAGGAAAGGGCACAATGGGAGCCAAGGTGGTGGAGCCCCTTACCCCCTGTCTCTGTGGGGCTCTTCTTGTTCAGGATCTTCAGAAGGTCTTTGGTAATCTTCTTCAGTTGATGCTGAGCTTCCTCCCGCTCTTTGCCCACTCCGTAGAGAAGGACTGTGCGCTGGTTACATTCATGACTTGAAGATTCATCCTGGAAAACACAAGATGCCGTCTAAGACCCTTGTCTGTGGAGAGGGGACCGCTGTGCCCGCCCCTGGAGCGCGCTAGCCACAGCCTCTCCGGCTGGCCTGTGGCGGCCCCCCTACCGAGCTTGCTCTCACCACAATCTCCACCGGCAACACCCTGACTTTTCAAATTTGGAACCTGATCAAGTAAAACACAAAAACGTGCCACCTGACCTGAAGTCTTGACAGAAGCATCTGATGTGGGCCTATCCTACAGAGTAAGTTCTGGCTATTGAAAAACTTTTCCTTGTCTAAAATTGAACGTGACATTAATTTCACACATTTAACACACTATCCATTGATTTCTTAAGGAAATTATTGCTTCGTAAGCTTGGTTTTAAGCATAAAGTAAGAGTAGGACATTCAAAATGCTAGGACATTCAAAAGCTTTACACACACACACACACACACACACACACACACACTTCCAACATGACTGTGTGGATCCTGGAAAACACAAGATGCCGTCTAAGACCCTTGTCTGTGGAGAGGGGACCGCTGTGCCCGCCCCTGGAGCGCGCTAGCCACAGCCTCTCCGGCTGGCCTGTGGCGGCCCCCCTACCGAGCTTGCTCTCACCACAATCTCCACCGGCAACACCCTGACTTTTCAAATTTGGAACCTGATCAAGTAAAACACAAAAACGTGCCACCTGACCTGAAGTCTTGACAGAAGCATCTGATGTGGGCCTATCCTACAGAGTAAGTTCTGGCTATTGAAAAACTTTTCCTTGTCTAAAATTGAACGTGACATTAATTTCACACATTTAACACACTATCCATTGATTTCTTAAGGAAATTATTGCTTCGTAAGCTTGGTTTTAAGCATAAAGTAAGAGTAGGACATTCAAAATGCTAGGACATTCAAAAGCTTTACACACACACACACACACACACACACACACACTTCCAACATGACTGTGTGGAATACGTCTGTATTTGTGTCCAAATGGTGTTTCTGAGTTATAGTGAAGGCTTCTTTGGGTGTAAAGCAGCTGGGGGAACGCAAACATGCCGTCTGCTCTGCCCCCCACTCCTGGCTTTGGCTTTTCCCATATGGTCACAGAACCTCAGAAATGCACACACACCACCGGCAGTTCCTCAACCAAGGTTAAGTAGCGTAGGAAGTGCTCTTGTTCTCAGACTGGCTTTGATCTTACTTCTTCGCTCAACAGCTTCCTCAGGCTGGGTGCTTACCCCACGGGGCTCTTCCCTGTAAGCGAATACCGCTGTGCTCACGTTAGTGATGGCCCTCACCAACAGCAAACCCCGGCAGATGCTCGCCTGGAGTCTCACATGGGCACACGCCTCGCAAGCCGCAGGTTGCTTCTGCAGCCCCATTTTCTCTCAGCTTTGTCACTGTGCTCCGGGTCTCTATCACCATCTGGTCAGCCTTTCCGTCTGGCACACACTGGCCTTGACACACACTTCCCTTACACTGCTCCTTACTAAAAAGAGCACTGCTTGCATGCCTCACTGACTTATCTACCCCACACTAGCACTCGGGGTTCCAGTGTTTAAATCTGCCTTTAAAGTGAGAGAGACCACCACGTCAGAGGGAGTGCTTCCCCAGAAACCATTCCCCGTTTCAAAACACAAGACACAACAGCTGTATGAAGCAGCTACGGGCACACAGGAAAGAGCCGAGCTGCTTGCTGATCTCAGGCTTTAATTGTTACAGAACATGAGTGCTGCTTTTTTCCTTTGTTGGGATGTAGATACCCAGACCTATAAAGAGAACAGGAGAAAACTGCGAAACTCAGATCGCGCCCGCTGTATGCCCTGGTGACTCCAGGGAGGCACACGTAACTGGTACCAACACTGATGTCCACGAGAAGGGTGACACGCAGATTAGCTACATTATCCAATACCTCTATAGAATGTGCATCCACATGCCTGGAACTCTGAGAAAACTACAAGGAAAAATGTTCCCCATTGTCAAGCCACGTGTATTACTGTAGAGCTATAGGGGAAGGCTTCCTGGGCAGACCTGTGTGCTGGCCCGGCAGCACAGGGCAGCGATGGCCCCTGCTGGGCTGAGAACTCTGACTGCACCCGGCCCGGTCACTTACAACTCCCTCCCCAACAAATCAGCAACGCCACTGCCCTTGCAAGGCAGAGAGTCAGGAGCACACTGCACACATGGTCGCTGCTGCCAATTCACCCATTGCGAATGACCCCCACGGCACCCATCCACAGCAGCGACCCCACAGTCGCCGGCAGCTCCCACCTTTGCCGGTGTCTTCCTGTCACCAAATGCCCCAAAGCTGCACCAGTGCACTGCCGTGCCTTTGCTGCACTGAACCACCCAAGGACCAGAAAGGGAATTCTGTAGCATTTATCACAGTGCAGTGCAGTTTTTTAAAGGTTATTTTCATGTATTTAAAGTCTGTCTTCCCTGTCTTCATTTTCATTTTCTTCCTTAATAAGCACCATTGGCATTGAATATTTGTTGAGTATTTGTTGAAGCAGACGAGGGGACAAACATATAGCTAAAGAAACGAGGCAGAGATAAAAATAAGAAAAAATAGTTTTACAGATCACTTAAGCTGATCAAGAGCTGAGGAAAGTGAGGGGGGAAGAAAAAATAGAAAGTCTTAGAAACAAATGTCCAGTGAACTACACTCTATATAGGGAGGCCTAGAGTAAGTACCCACTGCCAAAATTAACTATACTTAGTATTAGACATGAGGACTAGGAAACAAAACCTAAGACATACTAAAAGGAAGAAAATCTTGGGCACCCAAATCTAACAGAGAATATGCATCTCATTAGATTTCAATACGAGCCCACTAGAAATATTTGTTGGAGACCCCCAAAAAGCACATGGAGCACTGAGAAAATAAGGGCAAAGATTCTGGAGGTAGCTGGAAATATATGGTGAGTATTATTTGGCACAAGCCGGGCAACAGGTCAGGGATAAAGACAGCCCTAAGAGGGTGCGGAAGCTCTCACCGTGCTTTAGAAGAGAGAAGTAGAGCTGAGACAGTGGACAGAGTATGAGGGCATCAAGTGAGGAATGCAGGCCTCAGAGTGGACAATGCTCCGGCGACACACAGCAACCAGAGGAGGGGCACAGACACACAGGGCCACAGAGTGTCCAGGGGAGTCACAGGCCATGGGCACACCAGGGTGGTGGTGGGGAAAGCAAGCCAGACGCCAGGGTCTGAGCTGAGAAGCAGCAGCAGGAGAGAAGCCCGCACTTCCAGGAGTGAGCACGGAGAGCAGCAGCTGGGGAGGACGTCGACGCCACGTGTAGGGAATCGGCATCCTGCTGTCTTCAAAGCTATGATTCACACAGAGGAGTCTTCATACCGAAATCAAGAATGGAAAGCAGAGTAATGATGCAGGGGTAGGAGACAAAGGACTCTCGTCAAGATTCACAATACACAGGGAATCAAGAAAATTAGAGACAACAGAGGGAAATGTGCCCATCAAGGAGAAAGAAACTGGAAGGTAGAATCAGTGCATTGGTCTTGATGCATGCGGGCACACACACACGCACATACATGCACACACACACACACACACACGCACACATGCACATACACACACACGTGCACACACGCACACACACACGCACACACACACGCACACGCACACACATGCACACATGTGCGCACGCACACACACGCACGCACACACGCACGCGCGCACACACACGCACATGCACGCACACACCCGCGCGTTTCAACCACATTTCCAGGTGACATGGAGCTGCTACTCTGGACATACGCTCAAAATTCAGAGGAAACAACCAAAACGTGTTCACAGTAGAGGCACCTGCCCATATAGTGTGACCTTGGAGATGCTGGGCTTAGGTGTACAAGTGGTTCGTCTCAACATAGGGGAGCAGCAACATTGGCATAAAGGTAAAGCAGAAACAAGTTCTACCATCAAGTTTCATTCCTACCGTATCTTTGTCCCTTGGGTTTAAAAATTTAAAAACTGTATATAATAGTGATACTAAGATGCCTTGATTTAATGTTACCATTTTCCCCCAAAACTAAAAGTTAAGGTAAAAAAAAAAAACCATAAAAAACTAAACTGTTTACATTTAAGTTTCTCAAGAAAGCATGAAGAAATTATACAATGAGCAAGTATTGGACTGTTTTTTTTCATGTAATTTAGATTCTGGCCATTTATAATGGGGAGACACTGTTCAGCCTACAAAGGGGTTAATCAAACACAGATTTAGAATCATGGCATTATGAACCAGGGAGGGAACAAGAGCAAGAAGCTCAGCAGCCCTAGCCAGGCCACATTCTGAGTTAATGTCATTACTCGCTAGAAGGCAACCCATTATCCAATGTGAAGCATGGCATGTTTACAGGTGAAAATCATCTGAAAAAGATGATTTTTGCCTCTTTCTTCAGGAAACAGACTTCAAATGCTTGACTTATGGATTCATTATCTGTATGGAAAATAACCTATGAACTTAGAAATCATCAGCTACCGCAGATTTCGGTGAAAAGCTTGAACATCGTAAATTACTTTTGGTAGAGGTGACTTCTGGCCGCTCTGGTCCTCATTCCCAGGAAGTAAAAGCAGAAGTCCTAGAAGCAGACAGATGGGAAGTCCACTGTACACACACAACGCTGCAGATAAATCTCTGATTGTGAAGTTCTCTCTTCCCTCTCTCCTTCCATTTCCCTATAGAACTCTCAAGACTTTACTGATGAAAGCTCAGCAAATTCTCTACCACAAATAAGTTTGGCAACTACCTTGAGACATTAATAGGAAAACACCAGATGCCACTCTAACAACTACTACTGAAGACATACAAATCCTTCAGAATCTACCACAAGCAGGTAATGTTCTGTCAGTATTTGACATACATATATTTAGATAAGATGTATGTGTAAATTTTTCTTCCACGTTTTTCTTAAAGTTGTAATTCTTAAGTAACAACAGCAAAAATATATTTGGGATAAACATTAAAATGCGAGTCATATTGATGGTGGTATCAGAAAGAACCATTAATCTCTTCACTAAAAAATGCGTGGATATAAAAATACAAATGGTATTACCTATTTCATCTTAACTATAAAAAGAGACTTAAATATAGGCAGAAAGGTAATATTATAAATGTTGAGAATACTTGTGAAATATTTTACTATTTAGCAAAATGAGCACTCACAAAGGAGCTCGACTGCCAGAGAATAAACAAGAGCAAAAAATTGCACTAGTGAAGGTTATAAAACCAGTGATCTTGTGTCAATAAAGTACAGGATTCTATTCACTTTTTTGAAGGGGGATTAAGTGACTAGTGACAGTGGTCAAAGGTTTACACCACACTCTTGATGACTCCAATTTTTATTTTCAATAATTAAAGGATGAAAAAAGTGAACTCCAGGGTTTTTTGGGGAATTTGGAATCACTTCATTTGCCACGTTGAATCTTTTACATGGAAGTAGTGTGGTTTTTATTTGCTTTCAACATGATTATCTGATCATAAAGAATATTTTATGTAAAATCAATTGCATTTGATGCAATAAAAATCTGAAGTTCATGTTAAGTTTCAAGATTTAGATGCTAGATGGTATGCTGAGAAGCCAGCTGTTACTTTCCAATAACTGCCTGTTGTGATAAGAGCCTGCAAAGCCAGAGAAGGGTCTGGCTTTGCTGCTTTACTTCAGCTACCACTGTACACTCTCTAAGTCCAGGAGCACGGTGGTCCTGGCTTTGCTGCTTTACTTCAGCTACCATTGTACACTCTCTAAGTCCAGGAGCACGGTGGTCCTGGCTTTGCTGTTTTACTTCAGCTACCATTGTACACTCTCTAAGTCCAGGAGCACGGTGGTCCTGGCTTTGCTGTTTTACTTCAGCTACCACTGTACACTCTCTAAGTCCAGGAGCACGGTGGTCCTGGCTTTGCTGCTTTACTTCAGCTACCACTGTACACTCTCTAAGTCCAGGAGCACGGTGGGCCTGGCTTTGCTGTTTTACTTCAGCTACCACTGTACACTCTCTAAGTCCAGGAGCACGGTGGGCCTGGCTTTGCTGTTTTACTTCAGCTACCGTTGTACACTCTCTAAGTCCAGGAGCATGGTGGTCATGGCTTTGCTGTTTTACTTCAGCTACCATTGTACACTCTCTAAGTCCAGGAGCACGGTGGTCATGGCTTTGCTGTTTTACTTCAGCTACCATTGTACACTCTCTAAGTCCAGGAGCACGGTGGTCCTGGCTTTGCTGTTTTACTTCAGCTACCATTGTACACTCTCTAAGTCTAGGAGCACAGTGGTCCTGGCTGCCTTGAGGGGCGGGGCGTGGTGAACACACATGCACACACCTACACACAAGTATATGTAAATGTGCATATACACCTGTGTAACTAACGTGTATTTAGAAAATGTACGTGAAAATTAAACCTAGTGAACAACTTGGAAATAAAGTACACATGGATTCAAAATGCGTGGGACTAAATAATGGGACTTTATAAAACAGGTGCTTGAATGGAGGACAGGAAGACAGGGTAGGAATAACTTCCACTTCTGTTTTTCTGTGACTCACTTTGATTTGTTTAGTGAGTTTACCAAGAGTGCTTTCACAATTTCCACTTTTTAATTTAACATCCAATCATTTCTCCTTGTAATCCTTTGATGACACTAAAATAAATAAAGCCAGGAGTAAGAATGATACAGGAAAGTAAGAAATGCAGTATCATCCAAATATCCATTTCCTATGTAAATACAAGTGGGCTTGGAATAAAATCAGACAAGAATTGCAAAGCATCCATAATGTCACATCATAGAATGTCTCTAAAATGAGACATTAGGGTTCAGTCCTACTGGTACTCAGTAACCATCAGACAGACCCTGTGGAGATACAGCAAATACCATGACTACAAACAGCTCCCTTGCTTTCCTTCTCTAGGCAGCACAGAGAAGATGCAAGCCCTGGCCAACGTCACCCCGGCCCCTGGGAACAGCAGCCGGTGCAGCAGAGACTACGAGATCACCGAAGTCCTCTTCCCGCTGCTCTACACTGTCCTGTTTTTTGTTGGACTCATCACAAACAGCCTAGCAATGAGGATTTTCTTTCAAATCAACAGTAAATCCAACTTCATTATCTTCCTTAAGAACACTGTCATTTCTGATCTTCTCATGATTCTGACTTTTCCGTTCAAAATACTTAGTGACGCCAAGCTAGGCCCCGGGCCTCTGAGGGCCTTTGTGTGCCAAGTCACCTCCGTTGTATTTTATTTCACAATGTACATCAGCATTTCCTTCCTCGGGCTGATAACGATTGATCGATACCAAAAGACCACCAGGCCCTTTCACACTTCCAGCCCCAGCAACCTCTTGGGCGCTAAGATTCTGTCTGCTGTCATCTGGGCCTTCATGTTCTTACTTTCTCTGCCTAACATGATTCTTACCAACAGGAGGCCAAGAGACATTCACGTGAAAAAATGCTCCTTTTTCAAGTCAGAATTCGGTCTGGTCTGGCATGAAATAGTCAATTACATCTGTCAAGTAATTTTCTGGATTAACTTCTTCATTATCATTGTCTGCTATACTCTCATTACCAAAGAGCTCTACAGGTCGCATGTGAGAACCAGGGCTGTAGGGAAAGTCCCCAGGAAAAGGGTGAGTGTCAAGGTTTTCATCATCATTGCTGTGTTCTTTATTTGCTTTGTTCCTTTCCATTTTGCCCGAATTCCCTACACCCTAAGCCAGACCCGAGACGTCTTCGACTGTGCTTCAGAGAACACTCTATTCTATGTCAAAGAGAGCACTCTGTGGTTAACGTCTTTAAATGCATGCCTGGATCCGTTCATCTATTTTTTCCTTTGCAAGTCCTTCAGAAATTCCTTGACAGGCATGCTGAAGTGTCCCAAATCTAGAACCTCATTATCCCGAGAAAACAGGAAAAAAGGACCGGATGGCAGTGACCCAGAGGAGACACCAATGTAAAGAAATTCCAGAGAACTGCTGTTCTGCTGGGTTCCGGTTCCTTCAATACATCAACAGTGACTTAGAAACCCCTGAGGTAATTAAGATCACTCTTGAAACAAGGGACATACAGCCACAAAAGTAATTTTCATCTACTTTTCCAGTATAAACACTATCCTAAAATGCAGAAAAGGGCTGGCTCCATACAGTAAAACTGTAGCCATGCCAAACAACACGCAATTCCTGATTTTCAGAGCGGGCACAACGGCGATGACAAAAGGACATGGAACTCCTGCTTTAAGCGGGCGGCGAATGGGCAGTCACAAGGCTGGAATTCTTCACAGGCACATTAGCCACAGTCCTGTTCTCTCTACTGTCAGATGAGAAAAATGATAAATTTGATAGAATAGTCTACCCCAAAACCATACTAATACGCTATATACATCCTAGTTACCAAATCAAATCCTTGCTGATTGATATTATAAAAGTTTAAGTTCTTGGGATATACCATGTATATAAAGTAGAAATTTATTACTACAAAACCTCAAAGATGTACAAATACAAGTTAAATGCTATAAAATCCCCAAAGATTTAAACTAAATGAAATGCTATATCATGGAGTTGATTTTTTTTGTTATTAAGATGATTATGATTTTAAAAATACCATTCCAATAAAGGTCATAGTGAATAAATTACTGAAGTAAGAGAAGCTACCTTTATGACAGTCTAATACTAAAGAATATTATTAATATTTCCTTAACACTAGAATAGGAGGTTTCACTAATACCTTGAAAACTTCAACAGACACAATACTGTCTTTGACATTTACCTTTATGAATTAGCTTCTGGAGATACCTGCTCTTTGAGTTAACAAACTTTGTGCTCTGGTAAGAAACATGCATTAAATGTAACTACAGATTTGCTCTGCATCGCTAATAAGAGGCATATGATTGAACTGTTTGGATTACCTGCTTGATTTGTGTGTATAATATAAAAATCCCACATTCACTCTGTCTTCATTTTGTTGTAATTTCTTTGTTCAAAGGTTCTGGTCACCATAAGTCACCTTCCTCTCCAAAAACATTACAAATCAAACCCACTTCAGCACTGCTGCCAACACTGGTTTATTGCATGCTTTTGGCAATCTTCTGAAAATGGCACACAATCCCATAAAATAGGGCAGACCTGGTTTCACACAAGCCTCATTTGATATTTTTAAATGTACTTCCATTATATGTATTTAATGAGCAATACACAGAGAAAGGCCACAGCTGATATTTTCAATATGAACCAAACATGTAACATCATGTTCCTCAAGTATGTGCCATCCTCAAATGTCAATATCTACATAAACTGTCAGCAGAAACCCAGAAAGCAGGTTGTAACAGAGAGAAGTTTGCTGAGCTTCGACACTGTTACCCAAATGCACACATCATCTCCTTAGCTTCAACCTTCAGTGCAGGACTGAGCACCTGTAAATCTGCCAAGGGCACCTCCGCCAGGTGCGGCACTTCCTCTCCCAGGTGGCTCCGGCTCTCGGTGGGACAAACCAAGACTTGAACCAAACCACACACACTCTCTGTGCTGCAAAGCAAGTCGTGGTGATAACTCTCACGGCTGACGCGCACCATAACATCAGATGCATGTGTTTACTGTTCTGCAGGCACACTGAAAGCTGCAAGGGGACCGACAGACAGCAACTGGAGTCATCAGACCTCCTGACTCACTGACTCACTAATTAGTTAATTTACGTACATAACTGCTGCAATGGAAACATCCCAACGAAGACCAGCGCTACAAGTAGCAGCTTATTCACATTTAGTGGGCAATTTATCCCACTTTTTATTGTATCTCCTGTATTCCCTTATCTGCCGCTTTGGCAATTTCTCTTCCACCTCATACTTAAGTCTGTGGCAGAAAGTCTGACAAGTCCAGTAAGCCTTTAGATGATTCCTTTTCATGCCTCAAGCTGTAAGTCCCAGATCAAGAACTCCAGCATTTGGTGAACGATTAATTCCATGTTTCCCTGACCTCTGCAGCAGGCGCGTGGGCAGTTAGTTCCCTGCAGGGCTTGGATCTTGCCAGGCAGGCTTGCAGTGGGCGTGGGGAAAACCGCTTCATTTCTGCCAGTTCAGTTTTCTCATTACTACAACGGGGCAGTCTCTACAGACTGTGGTGAAGATGGTGGTTACTAAGAAGGGTGCGCCGTCTGCTTGGGGTCCAGTAGGAGTTCACCTGTTCAGCTTGTCCTCCTAAACTCTGGGATTTCTGGTTGTATCACCTTGGCTCTACTCTCCTGTCTTTTATGAGCTATCTGCACGCGTGTAGGAGTATTTTATTTTTTTCCAAGTTGATTTAACATGTGATAGGCATTATTCTGAGCAGATGGTAAATATTTTGTCAACTTTATTCTCTTGTAAGCAGACACGATTATTTACTTACATTGAAAACTGAAGCCAACTAGTTCATCAACAGTATAAGTAGCTTGCCCAAAGTCCCAAGAAAAGTCAGAGCAGGAGGAGAAACTGAGCCAGGCCCTGGGCCTGGTATACATTCTAGGGGGAGACCTCCCCCAGCTCTGCCAGCGTGGCTGGTGGTTAGGAGAGGAGGCCTCTGGGGGAAAGACCTCCCCCAGCCACTCTGGCGTGGCTGGGAGGGAGGGTCGTTAATATAGTTACCAAGGCCCGATACTCTGAAACTCTCACACTTCTGTGAATCCAGATATGAGCACCATTTGTCAGTTCCCCTTTTGAAAGTTTCCCACACACTGGCATTTTGAAATTCAAACAACATGTGATTTCCCACTTTGATTTTTTTTTGCAGCAAGAGATGGCCTTTATTTATTTTTCTTCATTGTTGCCGCCTCCTTTGTTTTCCCCCTACCATCCCTTCCCTCCCACCTCCACAACACCCCCCCACACACACCAAAGCCCATTTTCATATTATGAAGTTATCATGTACATAATTCCCCTTGTTTAGAGTGAAACTATTCCAAATCTTCTTCTTGGTAACAGAGAAACAAGCTGTACAAAATTCATAATTAGGTAAGTTAAACCCTTTAAATCATAGTTTTAAAAGTATGCTTGGTTTTTGTCCTCAGCTTAAGCAAACAAACCAATATTCTAAAAATTTTATCTATTATCACATTGGTGAATCTTGACTCTATATTCCAAGGAAAACATGTTTGAGGAGAACAGAAAAATTACAAAGTGTGCGATACATTGTGAATAGAAAATCCAAATTATTAGGCATTATGTTGCCTTGTATTTTAAAATGTTCAAAGAGAAAATAAATTTTTATTTTCAAAATTCCAAGCCAAGTCATCCAAAACTGTCTGATCAACCAGTCCTGCAGTCTAGGCCAACTCTAAGGTAAACTGTGGCAAGGAATATGAAATGAAACTCACCATGAACGCCACATCCCCCATAAGATCTCTGAGTTTCCTCTTTCCTTTCACCTATCTGCCAGGCTGGCACAATTGTAGACAACAACTTTCTCTATACTTCAAGAGACTTAAGGGGAAACATCACAGATTTTGGCCGCAGGTGAGTCACGAAACCCCTGACAGACACAAGGTGAATGCGAGGAGTTCCAAAAGTGCCATCTCCACTCAAATCTGCATACCACAGAGGTGCTCTCTGTCCCAGAGTCCCAAGCCATTGCATCATCGCAATGCTATGAGGCAGAGCCTGCCTTCAAATCTGTCACCCAGAAGAGGGGACTGGGCTGGAGGGGTCTTCATTAACCCAGAGTATCACGTAACTGATATACCTGGGATTCTTACCCCAAAGGTTAGGGCTTAGCATGCCTACTTCTTACAAAATATGTTCTCTCTCATAGATCTCAGGACTAATAACTAAAACAAACATCTACAGAACAAATAAGCCACCCTCCTGAAAACAAATTCCTGGAAAAGCCAGTCTCTGAGGATACAGATGATGATCCTGTCTGATGTTGGAGTCAGATCTTACTCTCCTGGTTGGTTCTAATTTGGGACTATTTCTTTATCATTCCACCACCTACTACCATGTACAAGAAGCTCTCAAAGCTCACTGAATATGTACATTGAGAAGATAGGCCAGAATAGTAACTATGAGAAAAAAACAACAATTTAGCAACTAAATTTACTCAAATCATAGTGGATGTGGAGTGATGTGTGAAACGCAGCCCTGTGCCGGCCAGCCCTCCAAGGGCTGAGCACGATGAGTTTCAAACCGATGACACCACAGAAGCACACAGTGAAAATGAGGAAGGAAACCCAGTATAAAAAAGCAGAACACGTGCTTCGTGATCTCTTTTTTTGGCTGAACTCATGAATGCCACAATCAGAAGACAGAGAACTAAGGACCCTCTCCAACAAAGGTGAGTTTCATTTTTTCTTACGAATGTGCTTGCTTTAAAGAGGCAGAATATAGTTTCAACAAACAGTATTACTTTATGAGCATGAGAATTCATATAAGATACAATAATCTGACATGTATGTTACCTCTTAATGGTGTTTTGTTTTGTTGCTGTGTTAAATGTGATACCTGTTATCTGAACTTCACAAGGATTTGAAAGTAATAGCACTGTTAAAAAGTACCAAAACCACACTAGGCATTTATAAATTTTAGCTAGAAAGGCCTATCTTCCAGACACTGAAGGTATTTAATAAATAGAGGTGGTTAATAGGCTTAAAACATACTTTAAGAAGGTAGTATTTGCAAAGTGTGAAGAGCTTTCTTTTCCTTTCTTGATGTACGTATTGCTGTATGGCGCTGATCTGAAGACGACACCACAGTGATGCCGAGTTTCAACGGGTCTGGGAGCTGCCCCCGGGACACCAGGGTGACTCGGCTGGTATTCCCCACCCTCTACACGGTGGTGTTCCTGACCAGCCTCCTGCTCAACACCCTGGCCCTCCGGGCGTTCCTTCACACCCGGAGCTCCTCCACCTTCATCGTCTACCTCAAGAACACTCTGGTGGCTGACCTGATAATGACGCTCACGCTTCCCTTCAAGATCCTCTCCGACTCTTCCCTGGGACCCTGGCAGCTCAGGGCTTTCGTGTGCCGCTTCTCTTCTGTGGTCTTTTATGAGACCATGTATGTCGGCATAGTGCTGCTAGGCCTCATTGCCTTCGACCGATTCCTCAAGATCGTCAGACCTTTTGAAAAATATTTTGTTAAAAAACCTGCTTTTGCAAAAATGATTTCTGTCCTCATCTGGATCATTTTGTTCCTCATCTCCCTACCAAATATGATCCTGAACAATGGAGAAGCAACACCATCATCGGTAAAAAGGTGTGTGTCGTTAAAGGGGCGCCTGGGACTGAAATGGCACCGAGTGGTGAATTACATATGTCAATTCATTTTCTGGACTGTTTTTGTCCTCATGTTTCTGTTTTATGTGGCGATTGCAAGGAAACTATACAATTCTTATAAAAAGTTCAAAAGTAAGGACAACAAGAGCACTAAGAAACGGGAGGGGAAAGTGTTTGTGGTTGTGGCTGTCTTTTCTGTCTGCTTTGCTCCCTTTCATTTTACCAGGGTTCCCTACATTCACAGCCAAACCCACAATCAGACTGACTGTAAACTGGAGAATCAATTGTATATTGCTAAAGAAACAACTCTGTTTTTGGCAGCAACTAATGTTTGTATGGATCCCTTAATATACATCTTCTTGTGTAAAAAATTCATAAGGAGACTACCATGTGTGAGAGGGAGACGGGAAGAACACCAGTACAGTCAGACAGACAACATCACCCTGAGCTGACAACTTACACTTGGCTAACTTCCACTTAGTGATGAAACTTGAAAAGATCATTCATTCAGAAGTGAAATTTAAGCAATAAAAGGAAAATGACTGGAACAAATATTGTCTTACTTTATTATCTTAGGGTATTGGAAAGAATAGCTAAATTTAACCAAACAGATTTATTTATAAGCAATATGAACTAAAACTAAGAGAGTGTGAAAGAAAGCATGTGGCCACTAGAGGTCATCTCTAGAAATCACCTTTTGAGGGGCATTCATTTTCAGATGGAAAAATTACGAAGAAACACGTATGGCTAAGAACCTCCCTCCCCTCTGTAAGTCTCACATTCTGGTGCACACATATTGTACACAACACTACTACTTTTATAGCCCCCAAATGTTGATAGTTGCTGGCATAAGTAAGTGAACAAGCCCCAATTTCCAAAGTCATGAAGCAGGGCTTGAAAGATATAAAAGGCCTCGGGGATCCTGGAGGAAGAATCGTCACCACTGAAAAACGATAGAGAACCTTGTCCATATCACAACAGAACAACCTAAGAGGCATAAGCTCTCTGTTAGACCAGATGCTCCCCCATTAAAGACCTCAGCTGAGAGAATGCTGGGCTCTTTGGCCAAGCCTTCTTGGAACACAGTGTCTATACCCCACTCCTCCACCCTGCTGGTAAGGTCAGCACTGTAAGCACGTTTCTACCGGCTAGTTACCATTCTTGACCACAGATTCAACATCTTCACATCTGTGCTCGGTACATGGAAGGGACGGAACTGCTGACCAGTAATACCAACATGGAAGGGACGGAACTGCTGATCAGTAATACCAACACTTGAAGATTCTTTTTCAAAGTCTAGCTAGCTCTCCTTATTTGCCCGCATATTTCTTCCTGAATCTGTGGAGAACTGAAGTGAGTACAGAGGCCGCTGAGACCCTCGGACTCACCCCTCACTTCCTGCAGTTTACTCCTTTCCAACATTTCAGGACTACACTAGTCCTAATCTCCTCCTTTGTAAGGGAGAACACTCCCAAGGAAGACTATGAGGACTATTTCAAGGGCTCTTGGGTTTATCACTAAAGGGAAAATAGGAACTTTCTAAATGCAACCACAATATTGTGGCTATACCTTGCCTTCCAAATTGAGAAGTATTTTTCACTTCTTTTTTTCGTCGGTCGTGGGGCTTGAACTCTGGGCCTGGGCACTGTCCCTCAGCTCTTCAGCTCAAGGCGAGCGCTCTACCACTTGAGCTACAGCGCCACTTCCAGTTTTCTGGTGGTTTATTGGAGATAGGAGTCTCACGGTCTCTCCTGCCTGGGCTGGCTTTGAACCTCTGACCCTCAGATCTCAGCCTCCTGAGTAGCTAGGATTACAGGCGTGAGCCACCAGCGCCCGGCTTAGTATTTTTCACTTCTAATCACACCAACTTTATGGTGTATGCAGATCACCCCTACACACACACATTTGCTTACTCTTCCTCAGTGAGCCTTCCAGAAAGGAAAGTGGCATCATTCCACAAACACCGACTGAGTTTAAAATACTAGGAACTGCCCTGTGTGTATTACTTCATTTATACATGGCATTCTCCAAATAGTGGCATAAAGATATTAGTGGTGTTACCTGAAGTAAAAATGCTATGAAGTGGAGAGCCTAGGCTCCAAACTGCAGTCCACCTGACTCGCATTAACAGTGTTGCTACACTGCCACTCACAAGCAATTCCACAGATGGAAGATGGCTTAAGTTGCCCACCTTAGGAAAAAGTACCAAGGAGAAGGTAGATTCAGACGCCAACACATCTCTGGATTCAATCTTCAAAACACTTTCCCCCTGTAATCAACCATTACAAATAAAGTTCTCATACCAGAAAAGGCAAGTAGTTTATGTAAATCAGAGCTAATAAATACAAATCTCTTCAAGCCATAGATTAACCATAGTAATTCAAGCAGGGACCCAAAGGAATATTAAAGGTTTGTAATAATTACACCCTGCGCCAATGCACAGCTCCTAGATGTGAGCCACAATTAGAATGACTTTGCATACTCAGATCTGGTTCAGATTTTACTACAATTCTTGAATGCATGCTCTAGCTACAGGAAAAAGACAGATCACCTACAGCTATGTTTCAATTATATCCTTGCTTATCTTCATTTTAAAATAATAAGTTAGTGTACCATAAAGGACTTTGATGTCCTTTAGTGCACATTTGCCTTGAAGAAGAAATGATTACATTTGAGATTAGTGATAGAGAACAGTGAGAGTATAGCATAAAGGCAATGCGTTCCTACATTGGAGGAGGAGACGTCAGCGACAGCACGGGGCCAGACCAGGGCAGAAAAAACAAGAGGGGAAATAAACCAAAAAGACATGTGCCATGGAGAACAGCCAGAATACAAAAGTAAGCCTTGGCAACACCTTTGCCCAGTGGCTCGCATCAACAGAGAGCAGCAGTCGGGCCTAGGTGGCTCATACCTACTCGGCAAGCTGAGGTCTGAGGATCAAGGTTTGAGGCCAGCCCAGGCAAGATTATCGCTACGTGATCACCAAAAAGCTGGAACTGGAGCTGCGGTAGAACACCAGACTTAAGTGAAAGACCTCAGCCTCAGGATCCGCGCATTAAAAACGGGGGGAGGAACGGGGCAGGACTGGAAGAGTCTTACCAGCAGCCCCCCCTAACTCTAATTCTTTGGAAGAGGTGAGGAAAGACCTTCAAAGTTTACTGTTCAGAAAAATCATAACGTTATAAAGAATATTCAATAAAAATTCCTGCGACTAAAACCACTATTCACTTAGAGACATGACACCAAGAGAAGACATCCAAGATCTCAAAGAAAATGTGAGTTTGGTTCTATCTACTTTTTAGTTAAGGATCTACGGCCCCTACACAGGGCCGGTGATGCTCTTCTTTGACCTCAAAATACTAAGATCCAGGACAGTCTTCATGTCAAATGCCTCAGAAACATTTAGCGCCCTGTTGATACACATTCCAGTGGAGGGGCTTAGCAGACACAGATTAAAGAAAAAGGAAAAACAAATTCTCTTATTCTGAAGAGTGGAAGTGTCTAAGAACAATAAAACTACAAGCAATATGTTATGGCTAACTAGACTGCACTCAAAAAAGTTGCCAAAAGCTGGGCACTGGTGTCTCACGCCAATCATCCTAGCTACTCAGAGGAGGCTGTCTGAGGATCATGGTTCAAAGCCGGCCTGGGCAGGAGAGTCCATGAGACTCCTATCACCAATAAACTACTTCGAAAAGTTCAGAGGTGGTTCTGTGGCTCAAGTGGTACAGCGCTCACTTTGAGCTGAAGAGCTCAGGGACAGTGCCCAGGCCCAGAGTTCAAGCTCCTCAGCTGACCCCCCCCCCCAAAAAAAAGAAAGTTGCCAAATTAAAGCACAAATATTTCTAAATATGATTGTTTCAACATTATTGTCATGATAATAGTATTTGATAAGGTAAGAGGTATCTTTGTTTTAGGGCAGTATATACTGAAGTAGTTAGGGGCTATGTGTTTATGTCAGTGATTCCACCTTCAAATACAACCTGCAAAACGTATATAGGGGGACAGCGGACTTGGGGGAGAAGTACATATGAAAAAAACATTAGTAATCTAGAAATCTAGCCGAGTGCTCTTTCAACTTGCATATTAACTTTAAAATCTTTTTTAAAATGTTAGAAGGAAATATAAACAGTACTAGTAAAAGGAAAAAGGAGCTACAGAGCGCTTTAAGCATCACAGTGACACAAGCACCTGCACACAGTTTTCCCAAATGAATGTTGGATTTGTACTAGCTGAACAGTATTATTAAAAAGAGCTGCCCCCTTCAGTTAACAAAATCACCCAATGAAGCAAGGTTAATTGTTATAAAGTCTACTGGGGCTTCTACGAAATGTAAGACTTGCTATAATAATAAGCAGAAAAGATAGATAAGTCAACGGTTCAATGACGTGGCTGGTGGCTAGCTGCTCTTTTCATGAAGCAATACTCAGTTTTTTGTGCGTGACTAAGTGTGTACAACCTCCCTCTTTGAATTTTAAGTGAGACTACTTGAACGAGTTCTAACTTGTGATTGGTATAAAATACTTTAAAATGAATGCATAGAGGCTGACTCATGTTAACTTTTTCATTTCCAGGCTTAATTTGCATCAGTAGCTAGAGAAGTACTGAAGTACTATTCCCAGAGAGAAGTGGTTTTACAGGAATCAGGAGGGCCATAAACTAAAACTATTGTCATCCCAGCCCATCCTAGACAGGACACGGTCCTGCTTCTCCTGAACAACAAACACATGCCAAATCCAGTGCCTTATCACTCAGGAAAAATTCAAAGTTCCTTCATAACAGTTACAAGGGACTATCAAAAATCCCTTCAAACCACCTCCTCAGCAATTTTCAAAAGGTAATAAAATCCTGAATTATCAACACATTATCCTTTCAAAGCTTTCTAGAATGCATTGTTCTTTTTCTTCTTTCTTTTTTTTTGCCAGTCTTGAGGCTTGAGCTCAGGGCCAAGGCACTGTCTCTGAGCTTCTTTTGCTCTACCACTTGAGCCACAGCACCATTCTAGGCTTTTTCTGTGCATGTGGTACTGAGAAATCGAACCCAGGGCTTCACACATGCTAGGCAAGCACTCTACCACTGAGCCGCATTCCCAGCCCTCCTAATTTCTTAAAAGGTAGAAATACCATGTTTAGAAGCCAGCCAGAGGGCAAACAATGTGTAGAGACCACAGTTCTCGAAGCTGTGGCAGAGCCAGTGGCCGCATCCACGCAGGAATTGTAAAGGGAAGGAACACAGTCCAAGCCTGGCTAGGCACACATGAGAAACCCTGGTCTAAAAACTAGAGCAGCAAGGCACTGCTGGCTCACAATTGTCATTCTAGTTACTCAGGAAGCTGCATCTGAGGATCATGGCTCGAAGCCAGCCCAGGCAGAAAAGTCCAGGAGACTTTATCTCCAATAAGCCAGCAAAAAGCTGAAGTAAAGGTGTGGCTCAGGTGGTAGAGAACCAGCCTTGAGCAAATATGCTAAACAAGAGCACAAGGCCCTTCATTATAAGCAAAAAATAATATAAAGCAAAAAGAGCTGGCAACTTGACTCAAGTAATAG